GGGAATGCTTTTAAACTGAGACAGGGGAGGTTTAGGTTGGATATTAGGAGGAAGTTTTTCACCCAGAGGGTGGTGATGCATTGGAACAGGTTGCCCAAGGAGGTTGTGGATGCCCCATCCCTGAAAGCATTCAAGGCCAGGCTGGATGTGGCTCTGGGCAGCCTGGTCTGGTGATTGGTGACCCTGCATATAGCAGGGGGTTGAAACTAGATGATCATTGTGGTCCTTTTCAACCCAGACCATTCTATGATTCTATGATGATTCTATGATCAGACTACAACCTATCTCTGGATCCTCACATCTGATTTATAAATAAACAACTGTAAGTTACAGTCATTTCAATCCATTGAATGCAGGAGATGTGACAGCATTGCATTTTGGTAACTGTAAACTCCTCTCACTTTGAAAAATGCAATACTACCTATAGGACACCACTCGGATTGCTTCTGTAAAAACAGCACTCTTAGCTTTCTGCTTTGGTAATACTGCCCTATCTTAGCCCATCAGTGACTGCTTTCTCTTTAAAATTTAAGCTTTATTACTTCCATGATCCTTCTTGTCTTATCTTCCTTACACACTCACGCTCATCATACTTGTGTTCCCAGTTCTTAACTAATGACAAAAATCTCCATCACTCATTTGATAAATATTTAAACAAGTATTTGTTTTTTAGTTCCACACTGCTACAAATTAGTTAATTGTCTTTCTTTAGCTATCTTTCTCCTCTCTTGTGATGCCACCAGAAAGTCTGATACTGATTAAATTGCAGGTTGAGACCATCATGTCCACCATGCTGCACAATGCTACCTTATGAACTGCTCCCATACATTTGGATCCATTTCCTGTATTGACCAACTATGTAGCACTGTTGTTCCTGTGTTTCTATTATGTTTCTTTATCTTCTTCTGTCTCACACAGTATAGCATAATTCCGTAGGTAGTGACTCTACATATTATAGTACTACCAGTGCTACATAATAATACTAACCTTGACTGAGTTGAGGTAAATCAGGACGTTAGCAAACTGTCTAAGAAGAAAGAAGCAGGAGGCCATGCACTGTCTCCCTGGAATGGTATCTGAAATCCAAAAGAGAAACACAGATTAGTAGACTTTAAAAATTATGTGGTAATGGAGGTCACTGCCAAGATTGCTGGCAGCTATGAAGGCAACTAACTTCTAAAAATAATGTAACTTGCCTTTTCAGGCAAAGGAGTACACTGGAGGTTAGAAAAGCTATTAGATCATCTTGTCAACTTTCTTTACAGCATATAATAACTATCACAAGATTGTATTCAACAGCACATTCTACAGAAATAAATTGCTCAAGTAATAGGACTTTTTCCATGACAAAATCTATGCAGCATTATTTTACCATGAATTATTCTTAGGAATAATTATTTTAGGAAACAACATTTGATACAAAGTCTGAGTTTGTTATTCTGACCTCATACTCTTTTGCTTTAGAATTACACTCTTCAGTTATCCCAGACAAAGCAGCTCTATATATTCTGATTTTAGTTCCAGTAAGAGAGCAAACTTCAGACACCAAAAACATTACCGAAAAGTTTCAATACATGCACAAGTTAAAATATAGTATGAATGTTATTTTTCATGCAGTTGGGTTACTACATTGCTCACAAGTGATAATGTCATAAATAAGTTAGGCAGATAAGCGCAAATGAGTGCCAGTAGGATCTTTTTTTAAGAGTTTACTAGGACAATTTTTTTTCCTTAGACTCAGACAGCAAAGAGTGGTCAGAGATGGATGGATCCAAGTAGCAGCCATGAAGGCAATATTCCAAGGTCGTTAGAGAGCATGCTGTTCTGTAGTGGTTGGTGAAGTGACAGAAACTAAGATCCTAAGATTACCAACAGCCCTGAAGTAATTGATCTTTCAGGTTAGTTATCATCAATCCATCCACACTAGAAAATTGTATCTGAAGAACAATACTTTGACTGCACCACAGCACTAAACACAGCATTCCACTAGAATTCCACTGTAAATTTTGCTTTCTGAGGTGAGGTACTAATTATTGCTAGAAAGCATTATAAAAGATCTCAGAATGTATTGCAAAGGAAAGCAAAATATTCTTATTTTTTATTTTGTTGCACGAGGAGATAGTGGGCTTGGATGTCTTGTCATTTCCATAAAGAGACAGTAATCCCTATCAATGGCTGAACGACATCCCTCAGTTCTCCAATTTAAGGAAATCATTTAGTTATTTAAACAGTGTTCATCTGGGAGCAGAAACTGGCCCGTAAACTTATCAGCCCTTTTTCATGTGCAGGCATACATACTGTGATAAATATATGCCTGGGCAGAACATTAAGAGAAACACTTTTTCCTCAGTGTCTATCTTTTTTTTTCTTTGTAATGAGAATGAAAGTACCTCAAGAATGCACTTTTTCCTGTCGCACTCAAATTCTGAGGCTCAAATTCTCAGTAATTTAAATAAAATCCAAGAAAATGTGAATGAACATTGAAAGACTTAAAACTGTGAATATATTTTCCACTAAAAAGGAGTTAATAGAACCATGCATTTTTTTTCCCCATATATGGGAGATGTCTAAGTTTTAGTGTCTAGTCTCATATCCACACTGTGGCAAGAAATTCTATTATCCCAGCACACTATCCCCCATATGCTTGTAATGAAAAAACAAACAAACAAAACCCAAACAAGTAAAAGACTACACCAAGCCCAGAAGAAATACTTCCTTCTTTCCACTTAACAGCAGAGGTGCCTGCCTTGGTTGTAAGAGGACCATAGAAAACAAATGGGGTGCTGTTCTCCATTGTGTCAGCAGTGTAAATATGGTAGTTGGTAAGACTTATGTTCAGCACCACAAACACTGTATTTAATGGAAATTTTAATGCTCATTTACTTTCACTAATATTCCTCTCTCACATTTTTCTCCTTAAATTATCTCAGAAATATGATCTTGGTTCTGTTTTCTATCAAGTTGAGACACTGCAATTAGATCACTTAGAGCATGGGAATTACCTGCAAAAATCTAGTTACATCCCCTTTCATTATGGCAATTCTATTTCAGGAGTCACTCAGGATTACAAATTCTTTATTAAATAGTAAAATAGAGCTGCTGTTCTGGGTGTTATTTATTGTATCTAACAGTCGAGTACTGACTGCTATGCTTTAAGTGCTTCCTGATTTTTTGCTTTTGGATGTCTCCACTCCTCTTATATTACATAACTTCTCATAAATCTAAGAATTTTATCTCACATTGAAAAGGACTCTGCCTGCTCTGTTTCTCAAACCTCTGTGTCACAAATGTAATTAAAAATAACAGATTCAATTGCTGACTTCAAATGACCATGCAAATACGCAACACTGTATTCTTCATAAACTAACTTTTTAGTGCTTTTCTCTTCATCTAGTCATGGAATTTCTACAGTTAATGAGAGCAACTCAGAAACACAGGAAGTTGTTTTGAGAAAATATTCCACATAGAATCGTAAAATCGCCAAGGTTGGAAAAGACCTCTAAGATCATCCAGCCCAACTGTCCACTATCACCAATATTTTCCACTAAACCATGTTCCTCAGTACAACATCTAAACGTTCTCTGAATATCTCCAGAGTTGTTGACTCCACCACCTCTCTGGGCAGCCCATTCCAGTGCCTGACCACTCTTTTGGAGAATTAGTCCTTCCTGACTTGAATCCTCCCTGGCACAACTGTGCAACTTCAGGCCATTCCCTGTAGTCCTACTGCTAGCTACATGGGAGAAAAGGCCAACCTCTGCCTCACCACAAATCTTTGCTTCAGTACATTCATTTTTTGATAATCCAAGCAAAAAGTCAAGAGCTTTGCAGGTCCAATTCCAAGAAAAGAAAAAGCACAGGATTTCCTCACTGTAATCAGCACAATCTTTGTAGTCTGCAAAGCAGCTAAGTAACTTGATAAAGATCTCAAACAGACTATCTGGTGGTTCTAACTCTTTGCTAGATTGGCAGTGGGAAGTGCTGAAGTGTGACATGTATGCTTGAATAGCCTGGCTGGCTAGACGCCCAAGTGTACAAGCAGGTGACAATTCTGTTCTCCATTTCGAAATGCAGCTAGACAAAGGCAGCATATTAAAAATGACCAAAATATACAACATAATGGTTAATATGCTAAGTAACATAAGATCATAAAAATGATTATATTGGATGGATTCCAAAGTCTGTCTCATTCGGTAGCTTGTGTAGTAGGAATATATGACTATAGAAAGAATATGTTCTGATTTCACATACAACATATGATTTGGTAAACAATGCTACTTCCTTTGAAGCTTTTCCCAACTTCCAGCAATCTGCTCTGACAGACTTCCTAGCTGCAACCAAAGATTTTGCAACAGCCAATGTACTTTTCTTTTATGATGTTCTTCATACCTTTTAGTTCTTGCAAGATTCAGTATCTAAGAAGTTGTCTTATGTGAAAAAGCAATTTGTGCTGCTTGTTTTTAACTATCTTGCTGATGATTTATTTCAATGCTCTTTAGGCTTTGGATGGCAGAGTAACTAATTTTTTTCTATACATCTTTGCTATGGATTTACAATGTTCTGTATCACGAGCGTAATAAACTCAGTCATCACTTTTGCAGGCTCTGCACCCTCTTATTTTATCTCTCCTTGTTCAACAATCTGTCCCCTTTCTTTTATCCTTGTTGGGCTTATGTATACTTTCTTGTTCTACCATACTGATTGGAAATGTAAGAATCAGAATTGCAGACAATATTCAAGAAAGAGAACTACAACTGTGTGCAATTACACAGTAATTATTTCTATTTTGTTCTCCCTTTCCTCATCAGTTCCTAAGAGTCTCTTCAGCTTTTCTAGTGCTTCTTACAATTTTGAAAACATAGTTAAAGCTCTTATCCACAATAAGTAATACTTAGTATTTATCAAAGCTAAATTTAATTTGCATATTACTACCCAGCTTCATATATTCTTCCACAGCTTTTATCATTGTGGAAGCTCCTGCTATGAGTAATTTTGTCCCACTGGCAAACCTAGTCATGTCTTTGTTTGTCTCCTACAGCTAATTAATTATGAATATGAACCCTTTATTTAGAAAGAAAAAAGGTTCTTTCAAGTGTTCTTATCAGGTTTGTTTTATCCTTTTCACTGCTACTTCTCATTTGAAACAGAAAACTTGTAGTGAAATGTTACATAGCTTCCCTTCTTGAAATTTAGTACTGGAGAAATACTTGAGGTTTTTGTTAGCAAATGGATTTTGAATATAATTATACTCAGATTACTATAACAGAATTGAATTTTGATCATAGTATTTCAAATCAAGTTCTATGTAATAATCTCTGTATTGGTCAGGAATCACCTGTTCATTTGTGTGCTCTCTTTCTAAGAAAGAAGAAAAGTTGTCATTCCAAATTTTTCTTTTGTTTCATGCTATGTCATATACCAGGCTAGCATGGGCAGAATAGAATTTGAACTATTATTTAATTATTTAGCTATATAAAATTTCTAACCTCTTTAATATGCCAGCCACTGCTGCCATTTACTCTGGTCAGTACTATGCATCTCATATTATCTGAGCATAAACAGGTTTGTGTTACTCACCAATAAAGAAAACACATTTATTTTATTTCAGACAAGGTTTCTGTATTGCTTAGAAACATTTCTTCCCTGGCATCATCTACTTTGTAATGCCCTGCTGCAAATTAAATGTGAACAATATGCTATATATTACCTTTTTCCTATAGTGTTTAAAAAATGATTTTTGGTTTACAACCTCTTCTAAAAACAGGCATTCTACTTTACTCATCTATTTTAAAAACATATAATACTTGTAAAAAAACCCACATATGTGATTTTCATGTGTATGCTTTCTGCTATCTCAGCTGAACTCTTACAGTTTGTTGTCCTCCACGTAGCCTTCATTTGAGGATACAAAACCCACACCATTTTGCATTTAAAGGAGGAATTACTTTGAACTATGTGCTCTTTTCCGTCAGCTTTTTTTTCCACAAGAGTTTTTAAAAGTGACAATGGTTTCAGCAACACATTTAGTTATGTTGCTGTCCTGTTTCCACAAAGAGGATTATGAATATAAGACAAGCTGCTGCAGAATCCCTAAGTGAAGACTGGCAGTTTGAAGTATAGCCTCTTTTCCAGTTGAATTTTGGCCAAAGTTTTGGAATAAATTTAGCCTTCTAATTTAAACTTTTTTTTTTTTTTTTAACCATAAATTAAACTTTCACATTATAGCAACAAAATGCCTAGCACTAGTCAAGCTAATGGTCAGCATTTAGATGAGGATATGAAATACAAACATATACCATCATAAGAGGGATTACATAATAGGGAAAGAGCATTTCAAACGTACCACATTCACTGGCTGATTCACCCACCAACTGGAAGAACTGCTGAGCAATTTTCAGATGATCTCTCTAGGAGAGGAAAAAAAAAATTCAACGTGAGTTGTTACAATACAAACTGAAAATGTTTTTGAGGAACAGACGGGAGAAGTGAAGAACAACATGCAGGCAAACTGGGGTTGAAGTAAAACCAGAAAAGGTAAACTATGCTACTGTATAGGTCTAGATACATTGGAATACTGTAAAAGCAAACAGAATTTGGAAGCATGACAGGGAAGTCAGATTTAGCTTGATTTATTTTCAGGACTAGTAACAGAAACTTGCAGTTTATTCACTATGGACTAAGAACTGCATGGTGTAATATGAAGAGACTCAGGGATCCTGCAATGTAAATGTGAGATTACTTTCACTCTGTTCCAGTCCCTACAGAGCTGTTCATATCCTACTGTTGAAGAAGCTGGAGAACCTTGTGGGTTTAACTCACCGAATCCATTTCTTGTCCAAGAGCTGCATTTACCACTCCTTTGAGGATATACTCCTGGAAAAAAAGAGTAAAGAGGATCAAAAAAGGCAACGTGAAGATTTCAGGAGACACAGAACAGTGTACTCACACATATTTTTCTTTCTAAAGTTAACTCTATCCCAAACTGATAGGTGGTTATTACCAGAGCAAGTGTTTCAGTACAGCATCACAGTCAGCCCCCAAAAATCTATACTACTTGTTAGCTAGTCACTTCTGCGAAATGTTTGGGCTGCAAAGAGGTAGAGTGTTTTCTGATAAGACTTAATATTCAAAGATTATGCCCCAGAAGTTACACTGTAACACAGTATTATGCCCTCTTCACCACCATCTGGCTAATAATCAAGTGCAGTATTGTTCTATTAATGCAAAGATCCAACTTCTAGTACACACACCGGTTAACCATCACCACCACCACCCATGCTCCAAAAGGCAGCGTTTCTCATCAAGGTAAAAATGTCAAGAGATTTGTGCTCATGCTATTCTACTGAAACTAGGAGCTGGAACAGAGTAATCTCTACTATGAGCTACAAAGGCAGTTCTATTCTCCACTGAGCAAGATTTTCTTAGCGTGTAACAGATTAATTTGTCTTGTTTAAATCTTATAATTCAGCGTTCTAGCTATAAATGTGCTGTAGTAGGTTCTCCTGATAAACTTGGATAGATTCCTTCAGATATAAACACAGGAAAGGAGGGAAAAAAAAAGACTGTACACAAATGAACAAAATGTAAGGAAACAATCTGACAGTAATAGCCAGGATGCTAAGTAATCATTTCAGTACATCAACTCTTACAGATGCAAAATTAAATCGTGTAGACTCCATGACAAAGAAGAAATTTGATAAGAACTATAGGTGAACTATAGAACTATATGTGTAGTTTTGCAGTCTTCATGGGGAGTTCCTTCCAAGCTTGGGTGAGAAAATGGAGAAAAAATCCACAAGGATTCTCAATTTAAAATGTGATTTTAAGTGGGTGATATCGTGGTATACATACTAAGCTTGTATATGGGGAAAATGCAGGGAGAAAATAGGGGCCAAAGAAGCAATACCAGTATAAAACTGTTTAAGGAGGGCATATATAGCTGCTTAAGTATTAAGTATACTGAAAAATGCAAGAAATAAAAAGCAAAAAGAAACAGCAGAAGGCACTCCTCAGCACAGAATTACCAGATTTGTTTTTAATGTTCCCACCCCCCCCCCTCCCATCCATTCCTCACACACACTTGTGAAAGGTCTCTTTCATGCCCAGTTACGTGATCTTTGGAAACTAAACTGCAAACAGGAATAAATCAGAGACTAGAGATGCTGGCCACAAAAGAAAATGACAGTAGCAGTCAAGGGATATTGCAGTTTTCACTCATGGCAGCCAAAGTGAGATGGGATTAGAAGAGACCTATTATTTAACACGTTGAATCTAATCTAGCTCATTTTTATTGAAATGGCTTCAGGACAAACCACATGAGTGTCTGAGCTAGCAGATCTTGAGGGATGGTGATAACCACCACCGAGGGAGAAGTGACAAGCAGCTGTAGTTGGAAGAGAGCTTTTATCTACACAGTAATGGTCAGCTCCCTAGAATCAAATCTGCACAAAGAGCTGCATTTTCAATTGACCCTGGGCAGTATAGTACTAAACATGCTAGGTACTCATGTTTGTACAAATAATATTCTATGGATGACTGTTCAATCTATCATTGATAAAAGGATAAAACATGAGAGTTTTAAGAGTGGGAATGGAACAAGCTATCTGCAGGATACCAGTTTTGTATGTGGCAGAATTCATACTAATTTATAACCTGTCTGTGTACCATGACATCATTTTCCAATTACCTGTGGAGCTGTAGGTTCCAAGTCTTTAATCAGGTTATAAGCCTCCTGCACATCATCTGAAATACCAGATGTTAGAATGCATGACAAATCATGGCATGTTGTATTAGAACAAATCACTCATCCTCTACAACATTCCCCTATAGTCACAGATGAAGAAATAAAGCATTTAGACAGGAAGAGAAATGTACCTATAAATCACAGTGAATTTATATCACAATGGTGATGGTTTTCTAGAACTTGAATAACAAACATGGTGTGAGTAATAGCTTCTTTATTACTACAGTTTTCCTAGTAGAGATGACTCGGTTCCTTGTTCATAATCTAGTGGCTGACTTTCCAACAGTACAAGGTCAAGATAATAAATCCATTACTTTCTTGTTGTATCTCTTTTCATATTTATTTACTCCATATGCAGGATAAGGTAAGATGTTTCTGAAGAGAAACTTCTTTTCTTATCAATCTTCTTTTCTTATCAAACTTTTTTCTTATCAATATTTCAAAATCTGTCCAGCACTTCTTACCTGATCCTACTTCTAACAAGCAAAAACACTACTAGCATAGAAGTTTAAATGTAAAGTTTGGATTCAATAGGCAACTTTGCATCTTCCCGAGAAACAGTAACTGAAAATATCCTAAACCTTATGAAGGTGCCCTTTGAACTGACAAAACATTGTTAATACAGCATTATACCAGCTGCCTATAAGAACAAACCTTATCAAAATAAGCTTCCTTTTTGACAGTACATACCATCCAGACAGCATGGTGACAGTACTCCAGGGTGACTTAGGGCAATATGGAGATCTCAAGCTCCAACTCATCCCTGACCAACAACTCTGCTTTTCTACCCATTCCCTAGAGCAGCCACATAGTAAGCCAGTACATACTATACAAAAGTCATCACTTTTTATTAAAAAAAAATAGAAATAGTTTTTTGGGTTTTTTTCTTTGACTAGCTTAGCTTATCAATGTTGGCACAAAGCAAGAGACAAGATCGCTATTCAAGTTTGTCAGCAGGGCATGAGGAGAAAAAGAAACTACAGCAGCCCTGCTTTCTTATCAGACCATCAACACAGAATTCTGCTCTTCGGGCTCTGACGAAGTTCTCTAATAAATATAGAAAATTAAGATGGAATTTCAATACCCTAAAACTCACTACCTTAAACAGAAGAAATGGGAAGCATATTTGTGCTTCAATCTCTCCAGTTCAAAGCATGCCTTTATCAGAAACCTTGCAAGTTTTGGAGAGATGGCTTGAGTCATTGGGAGTGTTCTTAACTGATGATGTTGCACTATGCAGATTTTTAAATGAAGACATAGCATAAGTACATTTTTATCCTAACTCTATAGCATTCCTTTGCCAGCATGCATGTTATTTGAATAACAAAGAATGGAACCTAACTGAAATTATTGTAAGTTTGGCAGCAATGAGTAAACAGACTGTTTTTTAAGTGATGCAGATTTGCTTTGCTTCTGTATAAGTAGAGATCAATTTGAAACATATCTTCCTCAATAATATTGTTAATAGTAATATAATGGATAATAATACTAATATTGCTTTCAATAATATTGATTACAATAATACTGGACACAGTGTTTGCTAGGAGCAGCAAATGCAGAGTTACCAATGTCAAAGCATACCGACTGACCCGATGGATGCCTACTTGTATAGATAAGGAAATAGTAGCACATGCTTGACTTTAACAAGGTCTTTTGACACAATCCCTATAATGTTGCCAAAACCAATTTCTATTTCATCAGTTTAGCCATCTCTACAAACCCAAAAACCTCAAATTCTCTGTGGAAATAGATTTATTTGAAGGCATACAATTACAGCCCTTCTCTACAAGCTATGGGAATTTGTTTACATTACTATTTCTCAGAGATACTGAAAAGGAAATATATTACATACTGCTGCAAAATAAAAAGCATTTTGGGGAGTAATCAGTTGAGAGCAGATAAATAAAAATCATCCCTGAAGCTATGAAAGAGCCAGAGGAAGGCATATTTACCTTGCCGGAGATAGTAAATCACAAGATTCAGTCTTGCCTCAGGAATAACATCAACCAGAGGAGGCAGCACCTGCAAAGCCCCTTCTCCTCCTCGGAACACCACCTGCAAATAAAAGCAGCATATTGCTAACTGTATATTATAATCTTCCTTATGATCTCTTTAATTCCTATGTTAATAGTAAGAAGAGGTCAACAGGACTGTCTTCAGTGTAATTCCTGCTTTAATATAACAATAAAATTATATGTATGACAACCTTTATTCTAAAGAACATTAAGTACATAATTCATCAGCAGAGATTGACTGATCTCAGATTTTAGCAGCTCAAAGCTGTGACACATTACATACCAAAAGTTTTAAAGAATATGGCCCAGAATAAAAGTGAGAACAAGTACAAAATTAGTTTCCTTATGATTGTGCACTTGAGAAAAAAATAGGATAACTATCATACAATTGTTTAGAATGCAATTAGATCTATAAAGGATTCAATGTTTTATACTTCAATGTTACATGACAGTTCCTCCAGAAAAAAAAAAAAAAAATCTAATACACTGACTCAGTAGTCTCCTGGCAAAAAGACCAACATTCAAAATAAAGAATTTAAACTTATAAAGTCCAGTCTGAAATCACTGTTAGGTTTTGTGATCAACGACTGTCTGATAAATAATAGCTATTGACAATTGTTCAGCAAACTAATAATACCACTGTAGGGAGCATTAACAGGTACTCAGTGACTCTTTTACTGCAGAATACATAAATACTTTGGCTTGAGTCGGTATCTTTTTCCCCATGCACTGCTTGTCAAGTACTATTTTGATAAAGACCATTTTCCTGAGTTATCTTAATTCCACTGACATCATAGTCAATTGTAGACAACATTGAGTTGACAGTTCAAGGTCACGCATTCTGGCTTGTTTCTATACTATCCTAGTTGACTAGTCTCTACAAAATATCTTGCTAGAGTATTCTTACAGGCTATGAATTATTATGATATGCCTTTTGTGTAAAAGCAACAACATTATTATTTTTGTGATACAGTCTCAAACTGTCAGAGAAAATGCCAGGGTAAAAAAAAGCAACAAACTTGATGGTACATTGATTATACAGGCCAGTTTTCTGGAACGGAACTTACAGGGCAGCAGAGATACAGGTGTTTGCAGATCTCAAAATATTCCCTTTCATAAGTCTTCAAAAAAAGTCTACAAATGACTGCAGACCCCATGAAACTCAAGAAGCACATTACTTACCAGATTATGCTTAATGAGCTCTTTCCCAAACTCAAAAGATGATGAGGCACTGTCCGTCAAGTTCTTGAGTTCTGCCTGGAATTACATATATTCAAAAAGTTTAATAATAACACACAAAAAAGCACACAGACATTAATGGAGGTTTGTGTTTGTCCCAGAACTGACAGAAACATCTCCATCAGTGCTGGGTCACTGGAAGAGTTGTGCCTTCCCACTTTTATATGATGATTTTTACAAATTGAATAATCCACAGACATAAGGTCAAAAGTGGACCAAGAAAAGAGTAAAACCACTGTGTGTGCACCATGTGTACAGATGGCTTAATACTAGAGTAATTGAAGTAGGTTAAACTCCTAACAGGACACAATGATGTGATACTAGGCCATTATCAACATGATCAACTGACTAAGAAAGATAACAAGGAAAAGAAATGCCTAAGGGATGTCTTGAACTAAAATGATGGCAAACTGAAGGGCTGTCAAATAGATACCTCAGCAGCCTTTCCATTGTATAGTCGGAAATGGTTACAAGCCTTGAGGTTAAGAGCAATGGTGCTGTCAGGAACTTGCTGAAGATAAACAGCTAGCACTTCTTGTGATACATCATAGTAATCCAGTTTATAATAGCATAGAGCCACATACACATTCAGAGCCAAGTACTCCCTGCAGAACGGAAAAAAGAGCATTTAAGATAATATTTCAATCCGCCAGACAGTTATATTACAGAATATTAAAATCAGTGATGAAGCCCTATGTCTTCAACAAACACATCAAATTTGGGATTTTTAAATACTTGTTAGGTATCTTCATATCTCTGGTTTGTGATGTAAGTTGCACAGATCCATTAACAGACATGCATGAGTTTTTTCAATGGCAGCTATTCCAATACAGTTACTGACAAAATTGTTGGTTTGCAAGTCTTTAAAAATGTGGTAATTCATACTAAGGAAATCCACAGAAAATAACAACTTTTATCCTGGCAGAATAGGATTTTCTGTGCAATGCGTGTGAAAACATTTATACGCACTTAAAACTTTGAAAACATTTCAACAGATCTTATTATCTTAGAAATACATTTATTTTTTTTTTAGAAAACAAAACAGGCTACTGCAAGCTATGAAAACAGAAGAACTAGGCACAGAAATAAGACAGATATTTGTGGCAACAGTAAGTAAAAAGATAATTGTTACAAAGGTTACTTGCTTAGCTTTGCATGATTGCTTCTACAGATTTAGAATTTCAAGAACTCTTTCCTGAGCATTAAATTACATATGTACGTTATGAAGCACACTCCGCTTTCTCTAAAGCAATCAAGAGGAGACAGTGCCAAAAGACAGCTACGTATTTTGGGGTTGCAATTTCTATTTTACCAAACTGTTTTTCCAGCCGCTTAAGAATTCATTTTGTTCCTTTTTAAGTTATGAACTAAGAAGTAGAATATGATAGAAAAAACATAATACTTAAAGAAATGCAAAGAACTTTCTACATAACCACTTCTTAGAAAGATCAACAGGTAAAGCAGAAGTCAGTGATCAAAAGCAAGGCTCACCAGACTGATCATCAGAATTGTAATTCAATTACAACAATATCAGAGACACCAAAGTAAGGTTTAGAGTAGAAATGCCCACCGATTTTCAAGAAGAATGCATTTGTAGATATCAATAGCTTCTTGGTAGTGGGACCGCATGTAGTGGATAGATGCCAAGCTAAGCTGATCCTCTGTAATGTCTTGCAGATTTTGGTGAGAGCTCATCAGTTTCTTCTCATCACTGAACTAGAACAGAAAGTGAGACATTCTCAGAAGAGTTCAATGAGCAATACATTTTAAGTTAATTATTAGTTCTGTCCTCGCTAGCAAGCAGCAAGTGATTCATTTTTAACATCTGGATGTTACTTCAAAGTTAATTTGAAAGTGGAGAAAGCCAAACATTAAGAAGCAGACCAGTTGTAAACAGATAAAACTAAGCATGCGTTTTCCGTTAAGTTGTGATTTAGACATAATTACACATCGTGTGCCTTGCTGGATAAGAGAGCTTAATTAATCAGTTAAGTTATTTCACAAATATAATTCTGCAATGCAGGATTTAATTTACTATTCAATTTGGCAGTTTTTTTTCTGCTACCAAATAAAATCTTATTTCTCATGGAGAGCAGAAAAATGGAAGTCCTGCCAACACTCAAGCATTAACTTTCACAATACTTCTTTACAACACTAGCAAATTCTCCTCCATCATTCCTTCAAAATTCCAGTTAAAGCACTGATTTTTAAAAGCACTGCTGTCATGCACGTAACAAACGCACTAGGGTATAAAAAAGCAACAGAGTTCAACAATCATCTTATACTTGTATAAGCAAAGTTGAGGCTATCTAGCAATCATTTTACTCAAATCAGTTATTCCAGTGCTTTTTATCATGGACATCTTTTAAGTACCCATGTTGCTATAGAAACATTTTAAGATTACGCTTCTAAACCAACAGAAATTTAAGTGAAGAGAATCTAGCATCAAAGCTAACATGCAGAACTTGTATTTTATTTTGCCCAAAACTCAGTCTCTTCAGTAGCACACTACTGGCTGGGTATCATACAGGAAGGATGGTACAAAAGCAAATGGAAGGGAAGATAGCCACACGTGGTAACTGAAACAATCATTTAACTGTTGTTGAAATTTAATTAAGTCTCATGCCATAAACATGATTACTTTTTGGACAGTGAATCATTTATGAGGATCAGAAATACCTTATGAACCTTCTTGGTCAAACTGCTAAGTATAATACAGCTGCAAATTAGGAAACTTTGATAACTTAAAAGAAAAAAAAACACTAGTGTATGCATTTCTGATTCTGCTCAAAGTCTCAGGTTCTTCATAATAAAAAATACCACCAGGTTCCTATTGTACGACTTGCATGAATCTGGTTGGTAAGGCTTTTTGTAGATACTTGCTGAGGGCATCTATTCCAAGATCTGGTTTTCACACTTGCTTTCTCCTCCATATTTTATTACAGGAGAGTGGTTGCAGAAAATCTTTGTTCTCCTTCCACCATAGACATTTTAATGATTTGCCCAGATTGCCAGAACACATTACAAATTACCAAAGAAAATGAAGCAAAGCACGAGTGAAGAAAAGACATTGTACCTTATGTGCCAGGTGAAAGAGTAAACGGTTCTGAAGACGACTCTTAGGTGCTGAAAGGAAAATTCAGTAAGTATTTCTGCAAAGAACAATTCAGGACATCTAGTTTTTATTTTAACTTTCTCAACAGACATGCACACCCATGTATTTTTCATTAACTAGCCCAAATACAGTTCTTCACTGTACTTCACTTCAGCAATTTGAATTGGTTTTAAAGCCTTCCTGCTTCCCATCTTCATTCCCTGTCCATTTCTTTTGAAATCCCTGCTGAAAATACTTTTTCATTGGCCTCTTCCTTCCATGAGTCTTAAAACTGAATAACTGCACTACCATTTCTCTGCTGGTCCTTCTGGTTAAAGTGTTTTTTTCTGATGCCACGCAGCACATCTCTCATAGAATTAAAAAAGGCAGCAACAGACAAGCTCATAATCAAGGTTCTTTCTATAATGTGTAATATTTGAAGTAAATTGTGATTCATATTTCTAGGAATCTTGTCAATTTTCAGTATACTGCAAATTCCAGTGCTGCTACCATTTGTTTATGTGATGATATCATACACAGTTCTAATATTTATTCAGTCCAGAGGAACAAAAGGCACATTAATGTACTCAGATGTACATTAATGTACTCCTATACTCAGAGCAGATAAGATTCAAACTAAGACATGAAGAGAGAAGAGTGGCTTTCTAAAGTCACTGAAGTCCTCAAAACTTCTGGCTCTAACAGGATTAGGAATTGCATTTAACACAATTCATACTGCACAAATTGTTAACTGCAGAGATTTAAGTGACTACAGAGACCCTTGTTGTTCACTGAGATTGAGGAAGGTTCTTAGTCAACAGAGCTATTAACTTCTTTTGGGAGCAATCTTCCAAAAAGCCTTTCCTTGTTTCCTGTGTTTTCTTCAGCCTACTCAGCTAATGAGCACTCTCATTTTTGCTCAGACCAACCAGCTGGCAACCCAGGATTTACATGGAATTTTTACAAAGAACAGAATTACTTACTGTGTTTACAGGGCCAAGAAAATGCAGAGTTAGCAAAGCAGTGGCCTGTAACACAACGCTACAATTCTTCTGACATCCTAAACCATGAAAGAGAGCTTAAACCACCAAAACCTCTTTCTCTTCCCTCTCAAAGATGGAAATTTCTAGCAATAAATTAGATTTATTTTAAACGGCAATTTAGGGACAGATTTCCATACTTCTTACTTTTTCTCTACTATTATAATACAGAAACTGTAATTCATAACAATGCCAAAAACGAACCAGGCCACTGTCATCAGACGGGCACTGCCAAACTTTATGTACTCTCTCCAACTATGTCTAGTAAAAAAAAAAGACAGCAAATTTTCTCTCTAAAGACTTTCTAGTATAGAGGAGTACTAGAAGGAAAAGGCGTACAAGAGTTTTCACAAAACCAAAATATCTTGCCAAGTATTACTATCCAAGGATCAAGTAGTTACAAAGCTACATGGTCTTCAGTCTAGGACCTATTAGGGAATTCCCATTGGGATCTATTAGGGAATTCTCACTGGCCTAATAAAGGAAAGGAAAGTTTTTCTGATCTGCAATCAATATTGTGTAAGCAGCAGTAGTGTTATTATTGACATTGCAGTACGTTCCAGAGTTAGAAAGCTGGAGTACTTTGACTTAAAGTAAGTTCTTCTACGTGCTGCCCACAGTGATGCCACTCCTTAGCATTAATTGATAGTTTCCCGTATCAAAGTTTACAAAGGTTGCACATGGACTCCACATGTGCTTTCATGCAAAACTTCAACCAACCGCAACCACTCTTTGCAATTCAAAACATTTGGTCATCAAAGACTCCAGAAATACAAGCAGGACAATTTGTGGGATTTACACTGAAAATAACATTGTATAACCACAGTCCAGCGAACAAAGACATCAACGTTCCTTTTTTTGCATAGGTTTTGTATTTTTTTTAGTAGGCTTTAGCATTAATTCCTCTGTAAGTGACTTGCAAGCAGTATTCCCTCAAGAACCTAAACTGAGGAATTATTGTTTCACTGGTCAACCAATGACGGTAGTGCTGCACTCACAAATCTGGCATTTGATCTGACACTGAAATTGTTATTTACTCGTTGGCAAGAGCTGGAGGGTCAGTCCACGTTATTCTATGCCTAAAACCAGGCAAAAGGTGAAACCCAAGTACTGATGGTTTGCTTAGACATATGGAATAGGAAAAAACGTCCCACTTCGTAAGATACAGTATTACCTGATAGAATCCATCTTATATTCTTTAAAATACAACCTTTTTACATGGTGTCAGGCAAGGAAGAGGAGAGTCAAAAACAACAAAAAAAATGGCGTCCTGTTGACATTATAAGCAGAACCATGGAAACATTCAATAAGAGCAGTTTATTTCTACCAGTGCTGAATTCATTTTTTGAGAGACCTATGAACAAAGTCAGATTAATTTCCAGATGCAGTCAAGTAATAAAATTAAATAAAGCTGCTGTTAATCACTGGGGCAGGAAGGAGTGAAAGTGCCTCATCATCAAAGAACCATTTTTTGAGAAACACTAGACTTGCTCTTTTACTACTCTGTTATCAAATGTCATTGTCATAAGAAAGCACAAATCTCTTTTCCTGTCCTACTTTTTAAGAAGACTGCTTTCTTTTTTTTTTCTGTTTGTCTATTTGTATCAGCATTTAGAAATCTAGGTATCACGATGACAGTGCTGCACTGTGATAAACTGGACCCTGCTTCTGTGTCTAGGATTGGCTTTGTACTGAAGAAATCACTGAGACAGTCGGACTGGACATATCTCTTTCCACCTAAGAAATGCAACAATATCTCTATGCTAGAATTTTTGTAATTATCAGTGCTGGTGTTTCAGGGACTAAAGGCATAGTTGACATGGATCTATAGAGTACTCCACGTGCTAACAGGTGTAGAATACATCTGAAACTGCCAGAGCTGGGAGGGGGCAAGGGTGGAACAGGGATGAGAAGGCTTCATCCAGGTAACATGGAAAATATGACCAAAGAAAACCGTATTATGCTGTCCCTGAGAAACAACGCCCTGCTCACCTGAACACAGCTGAATGAAGCCCTCTGTGCCTTAGAACCACAGTCTCTCTGGTTGAGGGAAAGTGCAACGGTAAGGGGAAAATGTCAGGAAAAAACAGAGTCCAACACTGAGGTTCATACTTATACACACTTAAATAGCTCAACTGTTGAGAATTTTCTCACATGAAACCTGCAGAGGTAACTCACTGAAATTTTCACTTTCCTCAAATACTTTTATTCTCTCTTATACTTAAAAGTCAGTACAACTGTGTTCAGTTCCTTGTGGTACACATGCATTTCATTTCAGGCATGCCTGAGCACAGTAAGTTGAAGATGACTGAAACAAAAATGGTTATTTCTGTCATGTGGATTCCACTATGCTTTAAAAAGCAAATAAAAAATCCAGCACACAAACCAAACACAAGCAACAAAACACCAGCAAACCGAAATACAGATAGTAGTTTTTAAAGTTTAAAGATTTATAATTTGATACTTTCTTGTGTGCACTTTGAGAGTTCAAACCCAGCCGTTCTAAAAAAACAGCTAAAACGCAATGAAAATGAACTTCTGTTCTCAAGAAATACACAAGCAGACAACAAATAATTTTGCATGTAGGGAAAGACTGGCCTAAAGGAAAAGAAAATCCAGCAATGTTTCCATGCTCTCTTGTAACTGCACATTTTCATTGGTGACAACTATCTGACACCTGGCAAACAATTGTGCATGAATAAGCAAAACTGGTTTGGAAAATGCCACCGTTCTTATTAATTCATCTCTGTTTTGCTTTTGTGCAATATTGCTCCTTCCTGCATAGGCTGAAATGAGAAGTATCTGTTCAGTTAAACCACATTCTGAGCTGATACACGAAGTGCTGTGAAGAAGTAAATTAATTATAAGGCACTGCCCAGCAAAAAATAGAAGGAAAAAAACGCTACAAGTTCCTGAAGGGAGGTTGTGGTGATGAGGGGTTTGGCCTCTTCTCCCAGGCAACAAACAGGACCCGAGGAAATGGCCACAAGTTGTACCAGAGGAGGTTTAGATTGGACATAAGGAAACACTTTTTCTCTCAGAGGGTGGTCAGGCACTGGAATGGCTCCCCAGGGAGGTGGTGGAGTCGCCATCCCTGGCAGTGTTCAAGAGGCGTCTGGATGAGGAGCTACAAGATATGGTTTAGTAGCTTGTAGCAGCAATGGTAATGAGAGGACAGTTGGTCTAGATGATCTTCTAAGTCCTTTCTAACCTTGTGATTTTATGATTCTATAAGAGGCCAGAAATATCTGAAAGGAATTTGGCAGAAGGCGTAGAGGAGATAAAGTACATCTATCATGAAGAACCTTCAAAAAAAGGATTCTCCTCTACTGACTTTTTATTCCACTTCTTAGGTTATGTTTCCAGTAATTCTGGTTTATATGACTTTTGATGCACAGACTTATTATTTCCTGAGAGAATATTCAATTAAGTTTTATTTAAGTAATGACAAACATCTATTAAAAAATAAAGTCTTGCTCCAGAATAGAACGCAAGCGATCTTTTATGAAATGCAATAATTACCTCATGGCCTTTAACTCTCATTTCCTGATTTTTAAACATTCTTCATATTTTTTCCTCAGTTAACAATTATCTTAAGTAATGGCAACAGTAAATGACAAGAAGGAACTTCTACTTAATTTCCAGATATTTATAGTTTTGTGCAGACAAGCTATTCCAGAAAGCTAGCTGACATTCACATTCCCTTTCATGCAGAGACTCCAATGCCATAGGAATTTAGAATTATAAATGAAAATAAATTACTTCTCCTTCATTTGTTTTAGTGCTGTGCTGCTTTCAGGGGAATGACAACTGCAGCAATAATCAATAAACATCAAACAGTATGCAAAAAAGTCTGGCAGTGTATTCCCAAAATAGCAATGGTAAGCAGCCCAACACTAATGATGTCTATCACTCTTACAGCAGACTTAAAGGCAGTAGTGGATAAATGGTGGCATTCTATAGACTTCACCCTGTTGTGCTTACAGCTCAATGAAGTATTTTGTTGCTTCTGGATCTCTGCAAAACCACGGAAGAAATCATAAGACACTGTAGGTTCTTCTATTAATGTACTGAGAAAAATCATCAGTCACCGATGCTACTGAAAGACACTAAAATAAACCAAAAGAGGATACACTTTCAGTGAAAATAAGATGATTCAACTTTAGTGTAGGAAAGGCCGAAATGATGGATGTGGAAAGGAGAATCTACAACACTTCTCCTTTCTCCACTGGAAGCTCCCAAGTGTTACAGATCTTCAGCTGTGACTGCCTCCCCACCAAGCTTAAGCAGCTAGGAATCATCAGTATTACAACGTTCACAACAAAGGCCTAGCATCTCAGTATAAAATCAGGCATGCTGCCTTACTTGCACAATTACATAAAGATCAGGAAGTAACATTACTGCTTAGCTATTTTCTGTTTCGTCCCTCAGCTACATTCCCATGTCATGCACTCCCTTCTTAATGTTCCTGCCTTTTGTTTCTGCCACTTGAGCACTGTTCACTACACCACCTACCCTACCCCTTGCCATGCTACCAAGAAATGATCTGGGGAGCAGGAAAGAATTAACCTTCCCTCAGTTACAGCTCACAGCTCTAAAGATGCATGACCAGCTGTGTATCTGTCATCTCTAGGATGGATAACTGTAATTTACCCTCTGGGAAGCTGATGACAACGAGCCATCTCCAACTGGTAAAGGATGCAGCCGCTTGCTTCCTCTGTGGTTCAGGTATAGTGACACCTCAGATCTATTGCCCAATTATTTTTAGATTTCAAGTCCATGTCCTAGATTGTAATCTCCTAAACTCAAGCTTATAGTACTTTAAGGATTACATTATCACTTGTGAATACCAGAATTTTACACACTTCTTGAACAATATGGATCACTAATCAAGAATATGGAATACACATCTCTGCAGGAAACCTTTCGTAGTTGGAAACACAACATTTTCAGTTGTGGGAATCAAGTTCAGGATGATTGTTCAGGGAATTTTAAAGGGTTACCAGAATCTAATTATCTCTAAAAAATACTGACGATACTGTTCTCTTTGGAGGTGTTCTAACACAGTAGCAGAAAATGCACAGTAATTTTCTCCCTTTCCTATTTTCAGCCCAGGATTAAAGAAATGAAGAATGAAACAAACAAACAAGACTCCGTAAGAGTCTTATCCTAAAAAAGTGAGAGTCAAAAGCTGACTGAGAACACCACTGCTATTAATTGTACTTAGGAAGCACTGAGATACATGATGATGAGAAACAATATAAGTCACTAAGATAAACAGAAAGTGATGGGTAACAAAATCAAACTGCAGAAACATTTTTAGGCAGTAAAAAAGTGCCTTGGAATCTAACTTCCATCCTTCTTTAAATTAGATTCCATGCATGTTCAAATCAACATGGAAACTTAATAATGTGGTGCAGCAAAGTGCACACCTTATAACCAGATCCCTAATATCTAACTAAAAAAGCAGTAAGACCATCTACTAAGTTACTAAAACTGCTGAATTCTCTCATGTTATTTATTGATTATTTCACTATCTTCATTAGCTTCATCTGCAGTGGCTCAGAGATATGCAGTCAGCCAAAAGAACAGTAAATTTTTGCTGCTGGTCAGCATATGCTAGGTTTTGTATTTAGAAATTAATAAGAGAAATTATTTTCCAGATGCTTCTTTCAGTTCCAGCTGTTCCACTTGCCCAAGGTATTCTTAGGGAACAAATCACGTTATAAATTCTGCCCTGAACAAAAAGAAGAAAAAAAAAGAGAGAGAAAAAACCCTCTTTGTTCAAAAGTATCCTTTATTTTTTACTCTGAAAAAAAAGCATCATATACTTTTTCTGGAAATCATTTTAGGTGTTCAAGACAACAGTTCATTTCATCACTCAGAGACATACATCTCACCTTTCAAGGCTGCTTGTTCAGCTTGTGTATACATTCCCAGAAAGAAGTAGGTACACGCAAGGTTCACCCAAACATCAGGATTGCAAGATGGTTGTTTGGTCAAGGCCTCATATTCCTGGAAAAGAAGTGTTTTTTGTGGTTTGTTTTTTTTCCTTCATTTAATAGCATACAAATTATTCAGCTCACCCAATTTATTGCCAAGTTCATCATCACTCTTACATCTGAACTATTACATTTTAACCAAAGGTACATTCAGCAGCTTCTTTTTGTTTATAAAAATGGAAGAATCAATGGGGATAAGCAGTACTAAAAATCATCACTGCAGGCATTCTGTCAATGCCTTAACAGTTACAAAATCATTGAGATGACAAGCTTTTCCTCTGTCTTTTCTGATGCTTTCCTAACTCACTGAGTCAGAAGAGGTGATAAAAATCATGGAAATCTCTCTATAATTACTTACTGGAGTGTTAAATATCCTGTTATAAATCTGCACGTAGTGTCTTTGTACAGATTAAAACAGTGGACTCCAAAGAGAAAATATATGCAAGGCAACCCAAAGAGGTGTATCAAGAATTTTTTTTTATTTTAAACTTTTATTTTATTTATCAGTGGCACAAAAATATAAAAGTGTTTATTTCAACTTTAACGTATACAGTTTATAAACAAATATTCATACGTTGCAGGGGTATGCTCAAAAAATTTTACTGGTAGAGATGCACTATGCTGTATTAAAATACAAGCCCAGAAGTCTTAGTCACGTTCAAGTCTGCCATATACACAAAAATATAACTATAGCAAATATTACTAAATTGTGCCCAATTTCACTGTTTCTCATGTGAAGATTTACACCCAACACTATCAAAAGCCACTGAACACCACATTCTGATATTTTGCACACTTCCACATTCATTATGTAACCTGTAATAATAATAATACATTAAGTATTTTATCTCTTGTTATTTGTGGGGGGAAAAAAAATAAAACCCAACAGACAAAACTTTCAATCTGTTCTTTTAATGAAGCAAGAAACTCTGCAGCTATTCAACAGCAGTATTCCTGAAGATATACATCTTTGCTCTGCACAACACTAGCTAATTAAAACACAGGCATGGAGGAGATCCCTCAATGCCATTTCTTCCTCTTCAAGGCTCTATTAAATTACTTAGAAGGACCTTCCCAGTGAATGTGCCTCCTGCTTGCATTCCTCCTCCCCATCCCATGTCCAACCTCCAGCATAAGGCAAAAGCAGGCCAGGTCATTCAAGGTTCTCACAGGACTTGCTCAATGAACACTATCTCTATAATTCTCAACCAGCAGAAGCCTCTCATCTCTCTCAACAACATACCCTATTGCCAATCTGTATTCTTCCTCCAACCGTATTAACTGGAATTTCTCCCTTCCTGGTGAATTTACCACACTACACCACTGTACATGGAAGTCTTCTTCCCATGGGGGAAAGGCACAGATATCAATCATAGAGAAACTATGTCCAAAGGGCAGCGAATTCCAAGAACAGACACACACTGACAACAACCAAGTTTATAGTTTATAGTAAAAATAATTTTTTCTCCTGCCACATGAAAGCAAATTGCACTCTCAACCACAGAAGCTATTGGTAATGTATGCTTTTGAAAGCCAGCCCAGTCTTGCTATTATTCTAGTGACTAACTGGCCTCAAAAACTGTCCTTTTAAAAAATAATAAATTGATTGATTAAAGAAACAACAACAAAAAACAACAAACAACCACCACCACCAAAGAAAACATTTACGTATAGGCTGACATTTCCTACTGAGGCAAGTTCAGTCTTGACACAGGCCTGTGACAGAGCTCTGAGGGAGGCTACTGCTCTTTTTTGGGACCATCTGGAATCCTTACAAATTCATTCCAATTAAGTGCACCCAAAGGTCTCTTTCGGCTATGGCTTCAGGCAGATTAATTAGAAAGGAACAAAGTGCATAAACACAAGTCATGTTCTGGCTTGGCCATTCAAGATGTAATAAATAAGGAGTGCTGTAGTATTACTAATGAGAATCTGTGGATACACAGTAAATAAAAATGAGGAGTGTTAGCCCGTCCTACCACATAGTTCTGGGCCATGAGCACAAGCTAAGTGCTGTTGCTTCTTCACTCAGTAAAAGGCATTCAGCATTACAGTCTCTCAAAGACTTTTCACATGAGCTTTTCCCCTTCCTTACCCAAAACAAAACAAAACATGCAACAAACCCACAAAAAAAAAAAAAAAAAAAAGAAACAAAAAAAAACCCCAAAAACAAAATACAAGTCTTCCCAATAGCCACCCTGTGGCATACTTTTGCCAACCAAGGGCTTGACAGCTTCATGCTTTTTCACTCTTCTCCACCTCTCATCCTATCTAAAGGCATACACACAGCTTTCCAAAGAAGCAGGCTGATAGGTTGATCACCTAAGGCTATGGATACCTACTGACTGCATTACCAACAACACAACAGGGGCACTGAATAGGATCCTGCTGGCCTCCTTACTTGTCAAGATTCTCCAAGCTCATAAACAAAGGTTCTGCAAAGATGCCAACTGGGCCAATGTATAGGGCTGCTTCACAAGTGTTCAAAGGAAGGGTGGAGATACTTGATTCCTGACTACAGTCATGACAAAGAAGCACAGAAAACTGAGAGCCAAAATTCCATATTTTTCTTTCAAGCTTCAGCTATCAGAAGCTGGAGCGTTCATATATTCTCATACTCTCAAGACTAGATATTGCTCATGCACGAACCATTACCCTGATATAGCTCTGTTCCTTTAATGCTTTACTATCAGGGTAGGTAGTAAAGTTCCTGATTCTCTGCTGAAAGGAAGGCAGAAGGCAGGAGAGCCTGCCAGAATCCCTGGGTGACAAGTGATGGCAGACAGACAGATGTGGGGGGGTAGAAGTTGGTAAAAGAGGAAGAAATCTCCACAAAACTACTTAGACCCTCCCATCAACCTGGGGAGTCCCAATTGCCATACAGTGCCAAGAAGACACTTACCTGCCCACTGTTAATAGAAATTGATTTATAATAAAGTAGGAATCCCTCAGAGACTGCCACCGTGACTGCTGGAAGGTTTCAGAGCGGTGCCACTTGTAAACTAGTACACAGCAGCAGTGATGATCCCAGACCAGTGTCAGTGGTATATCCTTTGAGAAAGGCATCTACCTACTAAGAAGTGCGAATCTAGTCAGGGTAGAGCTCTGCCTAAAGACTGTTGGTATGTCTACAGTAAGAGAACTTGAATGTGCTGATTATATTGCTGTAATTCTCCCTAAAGATACTCTTGGAGTTGCAGGTCTATCTGATTTTCACTTTTTCCCCACCTTTTCTTGTGGATGATGATGGCTATGTCACCTCAATTCCCAAGACTCTCCAAGAGGTGGCATGCAGCCAGCATGCCTAACTCACCATGAAAATCTCATCATAAATGAAAGGATTACTGAACAGCAGAATTTCATCACGTATAAAGAATACCAACCACAAATTAGGAATATAGTGACAGAGACAACAGATACATTGCCACTTGCAGGCACTTAGGCCTGCGAGTCATTTAGACTTTGTGTAATGTCACTCTGTATAATTCTGGAAAATTTTCTACCCACAGTATTTCATTTATCATGGTCTCAGCACATCCCAAAGAGATCTAGAGATTATAGAGAATCAAGGAATTTGTCCTTGAGAATACATCAACAACACTTCTGTAATATAGCAGTGAAGATAGATGCTGCATGCACGTCATCCTTGGAGCTGATAACCAAAATGGAATTCAACCTACATAGTATAGTCAGTGCTTTCCCTTGATGGCTACAAACACAGTGTTCTGACCCAAAAGAAACTAGGCTGAGATACACAGTCTCATTTCCCACACGCTAACAGAGCAACAAAGATATCAGGATTCATAAGTCTACCAAAAATCAGTCTTAAAGTGGAAAACTGTGATCTCTCACTTTAAAAGGTGTCTATACGTGGTTTGCGGTTGTTTTTTTGTTTGTTTGTTTTTTCCCTACCAGGGCAGAAAGACAGAAAAACAGACTGGGTTGAAGATTTTAAAAGCCTGAATCAACAGCATCATCTAGTGGTGAACTGAATACAACTGACAAAATCTAATATCTATAAAAACAACAGTTATTCTTTTGCTGAAACTCTGAAAACATACTCTGGCCATATAAGCACCTACTGGACATTCCAAAGAGCAGAACTTATTTCACAATTAATCCTGACCTATTATTTGTTTTATAAAAACATTTTTTCTTCTTTTTAAACTTTCACTCCTTATTAACACCTTGACATCCAGATATAAATTAAGTGCAGCTACTGATTGTTACATTCATAATCTTTAAATGACACAATTCTAAACGTGAATATTAAGTTACCACTATTTTCTGAACTGCTGTTCTCCACTTTGTGCAATGCGTACTGTCAAGCTGATGACACCAAACAGCTCTAACTTCTAACAGCAGATGTCTGTTGTTTAACTTTCAGGCAAGGGGAACATGTCTTTTGAACTTACTTGGAGGCCTGAGAAATTCTGTTTCTACCTCACATCATTTTTGTGCCTTACTCTAATGCTGTAGGTGAGACAGCCAGGGAGCACACACAGCAGAGACAAGCAGAAAGAGACAGCCCTGTGACTCCCATGCAGTTTTATCTTTCCCTTTGAATGGAAAATTGAAACAGAATAATGAAGTCTTCTGGGAGCTGTAGTTCATTCTTTTCTTCTGGGACTAGGTTCCCAGAACTATTGACAATCTGTGGAACTGCAGCATTAACTCTTTAACTTCCAGCACACTATATGATGTTCTGATGTGGAATATCAATTATAAAAATCATAAAACCACGACTGTGCTTCATGGTCTTCCAACTGGTATGGGACCTGGCATTACTGTGTTGCAAGAGGAAGGCTGTCTTCCTCTCCGGCCTGACTCTAAGTTCAAGCCTTCAACTTAGTCAGCATTGCAATGTAGCATTCAGAGTTAACGGTTTGTTTGAGTTCCAGGAAATTCAGAAGGACCACCTCTTTCCTATCCCAGAAGACAGTGCACATCACTTTACCTGCTGAGGGCTGCATCTTGGAACTTTCTGTTTTATGGGGAATTCATATGTTGCCACTCCATGGACTGTTTTGACTCTGACTCACAGTGGTGACACCATGTCTCATCCCAGTAGTGATGTGATCCAAGAAACTATCACCAACAGCCTCATATTGGTTCAGTAGGTCCTGATAAACTGGCATGTGGTGTTTTTTCTCTTCCTGTGCAAGCATTCATGGAACCCATTCAGAAGAAACTTTCTGGTATTCTAACGTTGTCACCATTGTTTCCAACACACTGAAGTTGATATTCAGCTCCATGCACAGTTCCCTGGTTGTGATCCACTGATTCACCTGGATAAGCTGATCGAGATGCTCTTCATTTTGTGGTGTGAGATCTGTGTGGTCATTTGGAACGTGTCTTGTCTTTCATGTCACGGTTGCCACTGCTGCACCACCCACTGCCTCGCTGTGCTCACATCTACTGTTTGGTCTTCATAAATGTTCAGCAAGCATCAACAAATGTCACTGGGTGCCATTTTTTCTGCACAGAGGAATTCTGTGACACGCCTTTTCTTCATAGGCACTTCCATGTCAGACATAATTTTGTTAGACTACCTCTATGCTGCCATCCATCTCACAGTGACAAAATCTAATGGAATAGTGGTAGGAAGGTTCAACTTCTACTGCCATACCACCTATATCTGCCTCTAACATCGTGGGCCAACATAATAAAATGGGAGGCATTACTTTCAGAGTAGACCTTGTATATATAATATTTTTAAAAAGATAATTTCTCCCAGAATAGGCAAGTTAAAAGGCTGAAATGTTTACTCAGACTACAACTGCACTCCACAGCAAATTGTGATGGAGTTCTCCCCCAGATGACACTGACCAAAACTAATAAGCCTTAAATGGTGTAATACAGCATTCTAAGGATCCAGCAATTCACATCAGTAGGAATGCAGCAGTGGAAAAAACACTACTCAGGCAGACTGAGTTTTTTCCAAATCTTCACTTGCTTATCTGCAGCCTTGTGAATATCACCGAATAAGTCTCCACATTACTCTCTGATCAGGAATGCACACTGATTCCATCCCTCAAAAGTACACAGCAAAGTGTACACTGGAGAAATCCAGTGACACTGGCAATAAACTGACTGGCAACAAACTGAGTTTCACAGGAGACATAAATGGACACAAGATTTACATATGGAGTCATACACAAAAAGTGACACAAGAGAAAGACTTACATATGGTGTCATACACAAAAAGTGACACAACAACACTGTATGGTGCAAATATTGATAACTTAGGCATACTTGAATAATCAGTGTGCCTCTTGGTGACTTAAAGCATGTGGAGAATGTCTTATTGCATGGAATTACCTAATATAAGAGGACACACAGAAAAATAATAAAGTACATTAAATGGTCAGGGTCATCAACCTCTTAAGAGGATCAAAAAAAAGCATGCATATTGTGTACCAGGAACACAATGAAGACTACAGCATAATGAAATCTGAAAAACTGAAAATCTGAATCTGTGGAAAGTTAACTACAAGAATGGAATGGAAAAACTTCTAAGGAAGAGCAGTGCTGCAGTGGCACAGGCTGCCCAGGGAGGTGGTGCAGTCACTGACCCTGGAGGTGTTGCAGAACCACGTGGATGTGGCACTGAGGACATGGTCAGTTCCAACCTTAATGATTCTGTGCATAATAGATCATGTCCACAATGGGACTGGCTGGCAGGTCCCTATCACAGAACACCTTCCCGCTGTTGCCATCCCTGTGGCAGAGCCCCAGTTCCCCATCTCACCTCCAGAGCTCTCTTGTAGTCACCCAGATGGAAGGCAGAGTACCCGATCCACAGGTCAGCATCCTCCTGCTGCTCACCCGCGTGTCGCTGAAACTTCGGAGGGAAGAGCGAACGTGAGACCGCTGTCAGCAGTCACGCACAGTTTATAAGCACCAGTAAAGCAACACCGTGCCCATGAATACCGCGGGCAGTCTGACGGCTGTGGATGCCGCTGGGTGAAGCCGCTCTCGGTTCCCAGGGAAGCGGCAGGCCCCGGCCCGCGCCCGTTACCTCCAGCAAGGCGATGGCGCCGGTGAAATCCCTCCCGGCCAGCAGCTCCTCCAGCTGCGGCACCTTCTTCCCTTTCTTCCTCCGTCTGTCTCCCTGCGGCGGGGTGCTTCCCACAGCCGGCTTGGCCCGGGAGAGCATCTGGGCAGAGAGCAGAGCGGAGCCGGCTCAGAGCGGGGCCCCGGAGCGGGGCCGCCCCGCCCGGAGCGGGAGGGAGCGGGGAAGGAGCGACCGCCCGGCCCGCGCCCCCCGCCCGGCCTCTCTCACCATCCTGCCGCCGGGCCCGCGCTCCCCGCGCCGCCGATGGCGCCGTTGCCGCGGTAACCGTGGGACGGCGGAAGAAGGCGCGGAGCCCAGCGGTGCGGCCAATAGGCGCCGCGCGGAGACGGGCGCCGTCCCCCGGAAGGGCTGAGCGCCCGTGGGCTCCAATCATCTCACGCGAGAGAAGACGCTTCTGGATGTCTCTTGGTTGTCCAGCTCCCCGGGCTTGGAGCTCCCCGCTCCGACCTTCCCCGGCCCGGACTGATGAGGTGCAGGGCACAGCCAGAGAAGTGTACTGGCCTTCTGGCTCCCATATTGGTTTCTCGCCAAACCACTTTGATTCCTATCTTTTCCCCAAGTCTCGTCCTTCTCCACAACATCCCATAATGCATGGGTAAGCAACCTTTTGGCTCGCCTGGGACACAGTGAGTGAAGAAGAGTTGCCTTGTGCCACATGTATGGATGACGTGCAGCTGTTTCCTTGCTGCTGAGCAGTAGGTGCACGCCCACACGCAGCCCACGGGTTGGGCATGTCTGCCATAACAAATCTTGTGCAATTCCCACACTTCCATGACATCCCATGATGAGTTTCATATGCTTGTAGCCTGTAGGTGCTCCAGAGAACTTCTCCCATGGATCTTGATGGGCTGATGACTCGCCTAGGGCAGCCTGGGAGGAGCTAAGTTAAGGTGGTGGGGTTATTGGGGTTGTTCACTGGTTCTTCTGTGCTTCTTCCGTTTTGTGCTGATGAGCCTTTCATCACATAACCTTACACCAGCCTTTCCCCAACGGTGGCGTGAGAGACTGATGTCTGCTTCTCTGTGGTGATTGTATGAGGGCTGATCCAAAAGTAACGCTTCCTATTTTATTATGTTGACCCACAACATCAGAGGCAAGTGATCATGGTATGGCAGTAGAGGCTGAACCTTCCCACCAATATTCCATTGCATTTTGTTGCCATGCGATGAAGGACAGTGGAGGTGCAGTCTGACAAAATGATGTCTGACATGGAAGCGCGTATGAAGCAAAGATGTGTTACTGAATTCCTCCACACAGAAAAAAATGGCACATACTGATATTTATCAATGCATGCTGAACATTTATGGAGCATAGCAAGGCAGCAAGTGGTGCATTTCATCAGCAATACGAAAGACAAGCCAAGCTTGGATGAGCATGCAGATTTTTATAACCACAGCATAGAGGCTCTTGTTCATCTCTGGTGAAAATGCATCACTAATGCTGCATTTACACTAATTCATGCAGCATGGGCAACAAACTGGAGGAGCTAGAAGCCATGGTGTGACTGGAATATTATGACTTAGTCATCATTACTGAAAAGATTCTCGTGACTGGAATGCTGCAATGGACAGCTCTTTAGGAGATATAGGCAAGGAAGGAAGGATGGTGGGATGACTCTCTCTGTGTTTTGATGTTGTAGAGCTCAATTCTGGGAATGATAAATATTGAGTCCTTATGGGTGAGGATCAGAGGGAAGGCCAACAAGGCCAGCATCCTGGTGGAAGTCTGTTACAGACCTCCCAACCAGGATGAAGAGACAGATGAAGCATCCTATAAGCAGCTGTCCAAAGAAGGGCTTCAGAGCTGGTGAAGGATCTGGAGCACAGGTCTTAAAAGGAGTGGTTGAGGGAACTGGGATTGTTCAGTCTGGAGAAGAGGAGGCTCAGGGAAGACCTTATCACTCCCTGCCATGATGTGCAAGGAGGTTGTAACAAGCTGGAGTTGGCCTATTCTCCCAGCTAACCAGCAATAGGACAAGAGGTAATGACTTAAAGTTGCACCAGGGGAGGTTGAGGTTGGATAATAGGAAAAAATTGTTGTCAGAAAGAGTGATGATGCATTTCCCAGGGAGCTGGTGGAATCACTATCCCTGGAGGTGTTTCAGAACCATGTGGATGTGGGTTAGTGGGTATGGTGGGGATAGGTTGATGGTTGAACTGGATGATGAGTTGTTATCCAACCTTAAGAATTTATGATTCTGTGGCAGTGACTATGTTGAAAAACAGTGTTGTAGCTGAGAATTTGCTCTATCAAATAGTGTCATTGTGCTCTTTGTATCTATTGTAGTTTCCATGCAAATAAATAGAAGGCCTTACTTTCAAAGCAACCTATGTAGATAGGAAAGGATGAAGGAATCAGAAAAAAATACTTTTCTGTTGCTAAAATTCTCCCACCTGATCAGCTTCACCAGTCAGGGAGACACTGAGCAGGAGGTCCTGAGATGAGACACCGGCATGGATGGAGCTCTGGACTCACCCAGAAGGTCTTTTCATGTCCTCCAATCAGTAATCACTCTTTGCTGGATTGCTGCTTGTAGTGTACTGCTGTTAGGATGCTGCATAGTCAGCAGATGATACTGCGTAGGTGTTTATAGTTTCCTGGTAAACATGGCCACTCCATCTATATTACTCTAAACACAAACATGAAGAGTATAATATTAAACGTTAGATAAGCAAGTTGTGTACATTTTAACAGCATACAATAGCTGATCCCTTTGGCATATCCTGGGTAATTTTCAAGTACAGTTGTGACCTTGTTTCTTGTAGCAACTCTGACATTGCAGTTTGCTGCAAGCAGAACAAATCCCTTCTACTCAGTGAAGAACTACACACAATAGCATTTCCAAAACATTAATTTTTATGCTGTCTTAATTGCACCACTAGCAATTCCAGTAAAGAGAAGCAATACATTACACTAATGTTGACAGCTACCCTGAAAACACCTGTCCATGGGGAGATTTAATGAAGCCCCTGTACTCTTGACATTTCTGCTTCCTCAAGAATAAAAAATATTTTGCATTCCCTCAGATAGAGAGAGGGCTTTTGTTGCCATTTGTTTGTTTTGCTACAAATAAATAGGCCTGTTTGTAACATTATTCAGCAATAAAGAATAAACTGCTCAGTTCCTCAGAAGGTGGAACCCGTGTTCACATTCTCCTGGTCACTTTAAGCCAGCTTGGCCCTGGAACAACACAGAGCGTTTGCAGGTGTCCCTGAGCGGTTACACTGCAACCAGGAACCTTGGGAGCACAACAGAACTGTGACAATGCGCCTTGTTTATGAATGTGTTTTCATACAATAGGCCATAAAGAAAGGGAAGTAATCTACACTCCCATAGAGGATTTATCTGCAAGCAATTAATTTCAAGTTAGTCAATCAAAGTGATAAGGAGTGTGTGCCAGTGATTTGGCCTCCTTTACCAGTTTTTTCTTTTTTCTTTCTTTCTTCTTCTTCTTTTTTTTTTTTTTTTTTTTTTTTTTTTAATTAAGTAAGCTATTACATTTGTTAGGAGAAAATTCATTTTCTATAAATACCAACAAAAGTATTTGTCTTTTCAGCGATTGGATTTTGTCTTTTTTTAATGTTGTTCAGTTTCTATATATAAACTAATACAGCACACGTATCTGTTGTCTTATCAGTTGTGTAGGATTTTCTATTATCTAACAGAAAAAAAATTGTTCTGCAGGCCAGAAAGCTTAGCAGTTTTAAGAGTGTCCTTATGAAAACCTCATGAAATCACAAAAACCATACTGACAGGGGTACTGTAAGATTCCTTCTTCCTTTTGGATCTGAAACGATGCCTCAGAAGTGCTTCATTCCTAACTAAAAGAAAATAATAACTTTTGTAAATACCTCACAGCACTTTTCAGTACTGCCATGGAATATTCTGACTCAGCACAGACAGCTAGGAGAAATTAAGGTTTAAGGCTTTAAGGGCTTTTTAGCATACAAATGCCTAAGAAAACTGATTAAAGAAACAGAAGAAGCGGAAATGTCGCTGCGGGAAGACTTTTATGTGAAATGCAAAATCAGATGGGAGACCTTCTGACCTTAACTGTGCTTTAGTTAAGGCAGTTCTTAGCCTATACACAGACCTTGTTTACTTTCATTGCCTCAAAAAAAATAGTGTATTCCACATTGGTGAGCTCCAGCTGAACTTCAACTTACCTGTAACTTTAGAAGGTAAACTTTTTTTTTTCTAATTGAACATAATAGTCTGTTTATCAGTTAGAAAAGTGGAGACATTTATACATAAAGCAGAATTGTAGGTTGCATTTAATAGCACAGATCATTCTTAGCTGCTTCTGCATGACTCAGACAGTTTTTCTGGAGTGTTCTCGGCAGGTGAAGCTGTGACTCTGTCAGACCATTCTCTTATGTGTGAGGTCTACGCAGTATTAAAGGATGGGTTGGTGATGATTTCACGTTTGGTTATGATTTGGTTTCAGTTTGGTTATGATTTCACGTCCAGCCTTGCTGACTTACACAATGAGGTGTATACGGAAAGATGATAGTCAAATCGCTGTTGATTTTCCAGTCTAATCATAACCAGCTGTCAATCAAAGTAACAGACTTTTACGTCAGGATTCCTGGTTTGAACTGCACATTTCAACAGGTAGGCTATGGGTTGAACACATAAAAATCAAGTTATCCCCTAACTTCTCAAGATGCTATCTGTACATAATGTGTGAGCAACAGAAATAGGGAGTGAAATGCTAGAGTTTGGCACTGTGACATTTGGTGTGGGCTCTCTGCATATAGGAGTGGTCTAAAACCTGTTCAAAGCAGCGTAAGTCTCTATTTAAATCTAGTATATGCTAAATTGTGGAGGAGGACTGATGTAATTTAGTCCTGTATTCTCACCAGCACCAAACTGACCTACGTCTTTCTAGAAAGTCTGGTGTAGATATTATTGTGAAGGTGCAGATCAAAGTGGGTAGAGATGTTATGATCTTTTCCTCATATGAAATGCCAAAATGACACTTCATAATTTTAAAGCTAAGTTGAGAAGTTCAGCTACTCTATTAACAATGACGGAAAACTGCTGCCGTTCTTACCATCACCATTCTATTAGCTAGTGACATTATCTTGGAGACTGTGAGCTGTAGGATGATTAATGATCATGTTTATTCCCACACAGAGAAGGAATTGGCCTATACTGACAGCAGCAAAAGGGAAGTCATACACCTGTGACTAAACACCAAGATAAGCATGAGAGATTGTAATGGCTTTAAATAAAAGAAATTCAGAGAGTAGAAAGTGTGGTTTCAGGAAAGAAGAGAAAGGAGGGAAGGAAAGCTAAAGTGAAAGGAAAGGAAAGACAAGAAATGGGAAAAGGTCATCATATAAACAAAGCAAGAGGCTGTAAAGTGATCTTTTCTCTAGCAACAATCACATGTTTCAGTTTCCACAATGTCTGACTAAAATCATGATTTTTCAATAATGATGCATCACAATGTTCTGCTTCTTGTACCACTGAAAGTGCATCTGACAGCCTCTCAGGAGAAGTGATTTGCAGAAGTGAAAGAAATGAAATATTCCCCTGCTAAAGCTACAAAGGCAACTCCTTGATATGAGTAAATGGGAAATGATTCCCATAAAGCAATGATCTTGAAGAATATTTGCTTATTTTTTTTAATGGAGTCAGCAACATCTGAGCATTAATCTACCTTGTGTAGACTGTCAATGATGAGAGAAGGTGAAACTTCTAAGTTGATAGCAAAGACCAGTCTGCAGAGAGGTGACATATCATGTATACATTTAATACTCTTGTCAAGCCACTATTGTCCAGCTCAAGGCAGCAAACAATAGTCTTGTGAAACAAAGACCCTGAACAATTAAGCAAAAATGTGTAATTTCTACACTGGTGTCTGCCGATGATTGTCTGGCTTTGTGGGAACTGCACCTTCAGAAACTTCTTGAAACTTCCAGCACATCATTAAGGTTCAGTCAAGTTAGTAAATGTCACTTTAAGCTGCTCTTGTATTGGATTTCAGCATCAGCAGTTTTGGAAGTTTATGTATGTGCTATGGGAGGCAAGACAACAAGCAAATTTTGCAAATCCAAACTGCCCCCACAAGACAGTCTCAGAGCTGAAAATGCAATGCATGCTTAGCTGTACCCACATAAACTTACCTGAGTAAGAAAGCCATATCATTGTGATTGCTATGGACTGGAGAATGCAGTTGTATTGGTCCAGGACTTGGGCTGAAATATCTGCACAATATTCCACTGCCAAATGGATTTGTAAGCATGCACTATATTGAAGATCTCATAACTGCATCCCATCACACAGTGTAGACCTGGTTAACATTAAAAAAAAAAAGGACTTGAGGAGACTGAAGTACATGTCCAAGGCACAAATTATTACATGAGCCTCTTACCTTTGTAACGCAAAATGGGACAGATGTGTGCACTTTACAGATAGCTCCCATTTGTCTCTTGACAGAGCTGTATCCTGCTGAGCCTGAAACAGTGTCTAACTCTTATATTAGACTATGTCCCGTCACTCTGGAAGCAAAATTCTGCATTGAGGGTCAGCTCTGTGATTCCATTTGGCTGCCTGCTCCGGTGCGGTGAGTATTCGGATATTAGAAAATTGTTTGACTCTATTGAACTGTAGATTATAAATATGTCCTCCATCTCAATGCTGCTTTTTTGAGGCTTCAGCTAGCATGGTAAAATGGTCCCAGGCAGAAGCGTTCCTGCCAAGAGCTGCCTTTAGCTGCACTGATGTTCTTGTATTTGCCTTCCTCACCAAGCTATTATCTCTGTGTTGCTCATCACCCTCCATTATGCTAGGGTTAGCTGATGAGACCTTATATCCTATATCAAAGACTCTGTAATCCCTAACCACCACCCTGATTACAGGTTAGGAGCCTGAAGCCTCTCTGAAACAGTTTTGTTAAACTTAATACATATATATATTTTTAACTTCACATGAAACAACCAATTCACCTTATTAACTTACTACCCCTACAACTGCAGTAAATACTGAATAGCTCTCCAAATGCCATTTACCAATGCTTTTTTACAAGCTCAGGTCTACTGTCAAGTCATAGTCAAGTTGAACTTTTCACAAGGAGCACCATTCTTTTGTGGGTAGTGGGAAATTCCCTCAGCCTGTCTTTATCTGACAGGGTTTGGTCTCTGATTGAGTCAGCAGAGATCCTTTGTTTTCTACTCTTAAATAAAGGCATGTTTTCTCCGTGTTTGATATGTTTGATGTCTTATATTAGCTGATATCACAGAACATTTTCCTCTGCCTGATACCAAGACTGAATACCAAAACAGAGGTTGTTTGTTTGAGCTAACGCCAGTTGCAGCTGTTTCTCAGCACAAGATCTGATTTCTCTTCTCCCTTGCTATTGATTAGAATAATTCAGATTTGAAGCTACAAAAGTCTGATTCACTTGGGCCTTGCACTCACCATAAGGACATGGTCAGTCCTTTAGAGAAAGAGTGGAAAACCAGAAGTTGAGATGAAAGACTTCTTACTATTTGTTTAAGTAATATCCAAGTCACATGGCTGAGTAATATTCATTTCAAACTGTATGAATTGGGAAAGGGTTAAAAGGAAGAACCTTTCTTCATTGAGCTACATGTTTATGATCCATCACACATTTAGCTTCATGTTCTGGTATGCGGCAACACAGAGCAATGGGAAAATGGGGCCGCCACCCAAAGTCCTGTAATGCTAGTTACAACTGTTGCAATCCTTGTCTGTAGATTTCCCCTAACTAGTTCGTTAATTTCTGACAAGAACAACGGTGCTTTGCAGCTGGAGTGTAATTCCACTCTAATCTATAGCAACAGCTATGAACTCCAAGGACAGAGTGATAAGCTTGTGATAAACCATGGAAATGGCAATATAATAAGGACTTCTACTTTATCAGGGTTTGTTCTAGATCAGGATCATGCTGATCTATCAGGATAACGCAACATGTGACCCACATATTTGCTGTTCATTAGGATATAGCTTCAGTCCTAAAGAGTAATATTTCTGTTTTTTTTTTTTAAGATGTTCTTTGTAGACAATGAGAAGAAAAAAAATAAAAATAAAATCGTTCCAGTAAGTCAATACAGCTGCTCTGCAGGTATGTTTCTCATCATTTACATTATTTTCTTTGAAATCTGGGTAGTAGAAAAATTGACGATTGTTTGAAAGATAGATAAAAAATGTCCTGGGTATTTCTGTAATATTCAAAGTTAAAGGTGATATCCTTCTACTGGACAGACTAGACTTGTAGCATACTGATATTAAATAAACACAGACGGTACTTTTTTGTTTTCTTTTTTGTCTCTGATCACTTCTTTTTCTTATTCGAACCTCTAGCAAAATTGAAAAAGAAAAATAATTCTATTTTCTCCAACACGATCTTCTAAATCTTTTTAAAGTGAGGCTAAAAGCTGCTAGAGCTGCAGACAATCAAAATAATTTAGATGGGTAATAGTGGCCAGAAAATGATCATAACAATAATAATTAACTGATTCTAAGATTATAAATAATCGCAGCAAAGTTAAAAAAAAATCTGTTTTAAAGGACACTTGTCAAGATATTTTATTCTGCGAAATATTCTGTGAAAGAACACAATTTACCACAATGCATGTTTCTTCACAAAATAGTTGATTGAAAAATGCTGTGTTGGTTGTCTTTGGGGTGAAAAAAAAATTGGAAGATGAGTTGACAATCTTTGGTCTTGCTAGGACTATTGGTACCAGCTTCTGTAGTAATAGTTTGACTGTCTAGTGGCAGCTGATACTTTCATGTAGCTTTTTGTTTCTTTTGAGTTTTCTGAGATTTCCATTCCATATCTTTTATTTTGTTCTCTCTGAATCATCAAGTGGAAATAATGATTTATAATTAAGCAAAAATTAAATTAGACTACGTGCCAGTGAAAAGGTCCAAAAAAAAAATAAGCTTGGCAAAGGTATCAGAGTTACACATTCCGAATAAAATTGCACTTTTACTGTATGAACTCACTAGGGAAAGGGACTCGAGAATACCCTGGCTGAACTACCATTGCCATTTTTCAGTACTCTATTTCTTCATACAGAATAGATGCTATTTAAGCAATGAAAAGTCTATCACATCAATCACTGAAAAAGGGCTAGAAAGATCTTATAAAGGTTGAGGGAGCTCAAGGAACAACTTTGTGGATATTTTTGCTCTCTGGTTTCTATTCCCCTGAGTATCTTTGAACATTCAAGAAGATTGAGAATAGATTTCAATCAGGAAGTCAGTGCTGATTATCTGTTTCAAATACAGCCTGTTAAAATCTGGTTGTTTATTATCCAATGAAACAGAGGTCGGAACAAACAAAGTGCCATAGATTCAGGAACCAAAAACTTTTCATTAAGTTCCACGATACAGTTCTTTGTAGTGTTCATTTGAGCTGGTATTACTAATCTAACACCCACACATCTCTTATGATGTTTTGTAATTATGCAGTATGTGCATGGGTACAGTTGTTATTGGTGAGAGGCTGAATAGCATTTATTTATTCAGACAAATAAATACAGGACATTGCTACTGAATGTTAATTGTCCTTGTGCTTCTGAAGACAGAGTATGTGACAAGCTTCAGGGTTTATATTCAGCGATTCAAGAAGAGACCTCCATCACCTGTTAATAATGCTAGGATTATAAAGATGAGGTGCTCAAACTGATGTACATACAACTGACTTATTGTATAGGTACTTGCACAAAGTAGACATATTTAATGCCAGAGCGCTTTTCACCTTTCTGACAAGATAATAAAAATATTTGATGCCTAGATGCCACAGAATAATGGGATAATTCATCAGGGAAGTCAGATGCAGTTACCTAGTACTTTATTCCTTAGAAACTGATAAAGAGAGAATAAATAGTTCTAGAAGATGTGCTTTAATGAAGTTTTTAGTATACATTTTCTGGATTAACCTGGGGGCTGTCAGGAGAGGTTATCTTCCCCTCTTATTCCCTGGGATTAAAGATCCCTCAGGCACAGACTACAACTAACACCAAAGTACAGAAGATTTTGCTTGGCAGGCCCATCAAACTTTGTGCTTTACATATAAGACTCAGTTGTCTATTTGTTTTCTGTCCACCCTCATGATCTACAGTATCAGAAACTCTCACATTTACAGCGCAGTGCCACACCTTTTCTTTGTCTTTTTTACCCCATGAACCAGATGCCATCGATCAGTCTGCCGAGTACTTTGGGATCATGTAACAGGGGAAAGTGCGGTGTTCAACCGTGTGCTGAGGAGCACGTGCCTCACCCCAGCTGCACTCTCCTGCAGCATTCCCTTGTGCTCCACGCCACCTGAAAATGAAGGCATCCTCACATGGTGGAACTTGACACTGAGAGATTACGCGCACACTCTGGGCAATTAAGAAACTGAGAAGATAACAGTTCATTTAACTTCTTCTGACTGGGATCTAAGGCACTGTGAAGGCAAGGAGCAAGAGAAGGTGTAAAAAGCGATGCTGTTCTAAGGCTATTTTACCTTTTGTTTTTGAAGAACATTTTAAAGCTGCTATGAAAACTGAACAAATACATGACTAGATAGGTAGGGAAACCTCATTGCTATTACGTACTTATTTCTACTTGCATTAACTGCATGAGTTAACTGTTTCTCTCAGATAGATGAAGAAGAGTATAAAAACGCAGTGATCTTGTTCTGATGAAGTTAAAGACAAAACTTCTATTGACTTATGTGGGTTAAGCTTCAGGCACTTTGTAAATACCTATAAAATGGGCCACTGGTAAGCAGATGGTCTCAACATGAAAAGCTATATTCTGTTCTCCTTATGTGGCTCTGTTCACATATAGTCCAGATCTTTATGTGAATAATGATTTAGAATTACTCTATTAGAAATGCTAGATTAGAAGCGCTGTGGTGTTCAAGGTCTACTCTTAAATGATGTTTTGTGGTTTTCCTTGTTGTTAGGTGTAAGAAACAAACATTCATACAATAGTAACTTGCTGTTAAAAAAAGGATTGTGTAGAAAGTCAATGGAAATACATTTGAAGTGTATTCATCATCTTTTAAAACAGGCTTGGAAAGAAAGCATGGAGTTGTAGCTCTATTGTTTTGTGTCAAAAGCAATGGCAATTGATTATTTTCCTTTTTTTTTTTTTTTCTTTTGGTTTCAAAATTATCAGGAAGGTAATAAAACTAGACAAGTAAACTGATATATTATCTGACAGCCTCAGATTTCAGAAAAGCAGAAACTATTGTAGGTGTGAACAAAGAGCCCAAATTTGCACCAGTCACACTCAGTACTTTATTTAAATTTGCCTGTTGATTCCTTTTATCTTGGACTTCTCTTCCGTGCACAGCCCCATCTACAAGGCTTGTATAGTATTTTTTTTTTTTTGCCTCTGCTTCATTCATACCTTTCTCAGTATGAATGCTAAGGAAATCCTAGCAGACATACTCATGAAAATTGCCCCAGTGTTCCTTAGAGGGTGGCTTTTAGTGATGCCATTTACAATATGGATTTTGGTCCCACAGGTTGCAGATGGGCCTGTGCTGCCTGGGAGCAGACCTTGGGCACTCTAGTGTGCAATGCTCTGTGAGTACTAATGGACAAGCTTTGTGCTGAGTCTACTCTATAAATGGAAATGAAGGCTTCAGTCTGGAGGACTGCGAAGCAGATATTTCTGCCAACAATAGAAGTGCTCTGATGGTAAAAGCTATAGGAATGAAACTGACAGCTTATCACAGGAGAAAATATATCCTTGATTTATGAGCCCAGCCAGCAAAAATGGTATAGCAACATAACTAGAGATGCTGGGCAATGCAAACATGAAGTAATCAACTGTTTTCCTTTAGGTTTTAATGTACCTTTTATTTTATTTCCATTTTAAAGAGTCTTTTTTACAGTCCATTTGTTCCCTCCCCTTAGTTCTCTCAGCTCATTACCGTGATGAAATGTTAGTGCCCTTATCAGGCAAGGTTTCAGGTAATGCTTCAGTTTTACTGCTTCAGCCTTTCCATGAGCAAACATTCACATCAACCTTTAGCCTCTCTCCTTTCCTGAGTTTTGCTGTTGTTAGTTTTTCACAAACCGAAGTGCCACCTAGGACACCAGAGGGATGGGCAGAAGTGAAGGAAGGAAAGGGGACGGGGAAGTGCCTGAGAAGGATTGTACAGCCTGTCCTTGAGTCTACAGTGCAGAAATCTTTTTTGCACTTGCCAGAAATAAAGTCTATGTAAGGTATCTGGAAGGAGGAGGAGGACTTGACGAGGAAAAGAAAAGAGAGAACACACACAATGGATCTAAATTGAACAATAATGAAGCAACGGATGTTGGGTCTGGCCCTTTGGCTTTTATTCCTCTTTCTGCAGCTATTGCAGCAAGCTGGTTCAAGTAGGTGTAGCGACAACAATTACGTGATCAATGTGATGCTCATGCCTGACTCGGACTTCCCATCAACTTCTGAAAATTTGACATCAGCTGTGGAGGAAGCCTTGTCAACAATACAAAATGAATTAGAGACAGAAGGTAAGGCAATGGGTGTTGGTGATCCCTCTACCACAGTGGTTTCTTCTCACTTTTTGCCATAGCTTTCTGCTCATCTGGACTTCATCAAACTGCTTCTCAGACAGGCTCGTTGGTCCTCTGTTCACCTTATATAGGTTTTACAGAAATAGTGGTCTCTTTCTGTGAGAAAAGAAGTGCTCTAGAGATAGAAAGAGCTAGTTTTGCTTTTGTAGTAACTGGCAGAGACTTTCTGCATGCTTTTTAGTTGGGATTGGGAACGTGGAAATTGCTAAACTGAATCAGTTCAGACCAGTAATTCATCTAGTGAAGAAACTGAGATGCCCTTGCTTGAAAACCTAGAACTTATTCATCCGATTTCACAATTGATTATGATGGGAAAAGTGAGACCCTTTCTTCTCCTGGTCAGATTAGCTTCTACTCTCTGAGAATAATTTCATAATAATAATTTCATCTGTTGGTCACATTATGTCTAAAAATGTGAAGAGTCTGCCATTCTCATCGTCACTGTCTAAAGTACCTTGGGCAAAGGTTCCAAAGAAACGATTCACATTCTGCACCCTAGTTGAAGGAGTTTTTGTTGAATTTTGTTGAAAAGTGGTGTCTCTAACAAAGTCCAGCACTAAAAATGCTTTGTACCGAGAGCACTTGCACCCAGCAATCAACACCAGAGCAAATTCTTCATGTCATCCTAAATAGTGGGATCCAGGTAAGTGAGTTTCCTGGTAAAATAGGATAGCAGACATCTTTGCACGAGACAACTCACACGTGTTGGAAGAAGAGGGATATGGTGTATTAGTGATTATCTCCAGCTCTTGAGGCTGTTCACTTTTACGTTGCATTGCAGGAGTAAAGGTTACAGTCAATGCCTCCTTCCACCACTTCAGATCATCACTATATGTCTCACAAGGCTGTCGCACCAGCACCTGCGAAGGTGTAGAGCTCATCAAGCAAATTTATGTGAGTATTTGGTTTCTCTAAGTTAATTTCCTAAGAAGAAAAGACTTTCTTGTGTATATGTTTGTGCACATGCATGTAAGTATGCATGCATCTGTAGTTCTATGTCTGTCTTTCTATATTAATTTTTGAGCCTGTTGTTCAATTCCAAACTAACTTGAGAGGTAGGTAAAGTTGTCAAAGACATTCCCATGGGTTTTGTGAAGACAAGCAGTCTAACACAGAGACCTTACTAAGACAGCTCCCTAGAGGCTGTCATTTGGTAGCAATGCCAGCCGAAGCAGCCACCTGCTTCAAGCTACTTTTTGCATCTTCAGGTTATCCCTTCTGTCATATCTGCACATGGGGCTACATAACCAAAGTAATCAAATAATAATTAAAACAAATGAACAGCAACAACAAAACCCAACAAACTACAAAGCAGCAAACTGCCCAAATACTCTAACAGCCCAAGTGGAGCAAAGAATGTCAGTTTCCAGCTGGTTCAGTTCCCTGATCCATCGGCTTACAGAAATACATGTGCCAGCACAAAGGAGGGAGCAGTGTGAGCTGGGAACAGGCAGGCAGAGGGCCTGGCACTGATAACAAAGCATAACATGTGACTGTGCCCAGAGGGCAAAGATGAACTGCATGCTTGCTTCTCACTGAAAATGAGATATGCTGTGTAGGAGAAAATGTGTAAATCTCCAAATGTTGGAAAAAGCTTCAGTTAGAATTAGTGCCTTGCAAGAAGTTCAAGAAGCTGTGTTCCAGTGGACTTTCTCATGTCTAATCACTGTCACCTCACAGTGAGGCTTTGTCAATCAACTGTGAATTCTCACATCTAACAATTTATGGTTGTATGCTGTAGTCTTTGTTAAGAAGTCCCTTATGGCACACAAAACTGCTTTGGTCTGTACTTTCATGTATGCTGTTGCAACATTTTAATCCTAACCTGCACTCTCCCTCTCTCTCTGGCAGTAAGGTCATACTCTGCCGTTTTGTAGCTCCCTGTGATTCCTCCCTCCTTCACCCTAGCTTTGTTCTTTAAATCTTTCTATGTCTCCTTTCGTATTCTGTCTTTGCTTTTGCTGAATAAATTCTGGGACTCCTTTTCAAATCTTAAAATTCTCTTCAGTGTCCCATCCTTCTCACCGTGCCACCACACTGTCCCTGCTACAGACCCTCTCTGATCTCTTGCAGGATAATGGCACTCTTGGCTGTGCTGTCATAGGACCTGCTTGCACTTACGCTACCTACCAGATGGTCTCGTAAGTACCACCCTCTCCATGCAATATTGTGTTGTTAAAGATATCAAGTGTTGAACAAAGTTTTTTTGAGCGCAGCAAACCAGCAGAGACATTGGGTTTTGGGATACATCAGGCACTTTGATGTCAACAGTCAAGGCAGTAAGGCTGTTGTTCATAGCCACTTAAGTTTGGAAGGGAAAAGAAAATCCCCTGCAAGAGACTATTGATGCAGTTTCATTACTATTAGTTAAGTGTTTCTAATTGCTCATAATGGATTGATACTGAGCTCAGAAGACATGACTTATCAACAACCGCAGAATGAAAGGAGGATAATAGCTTAAGGCACTAAACATTGAAGAACTGCAGAAATGAGGGTCCTTCTGAGTGGGCTTTCAGTTACTGAGAGGAGCCTGAGTTAGATGTGGCATGAGAAGATAAAAAGCCCCAATTATCTTCAGTAAGGAGTGTTTAGATAGGGAACAGCCAGTTTCATCCTAACTCTTCTGCTTGTGAAAGCATTTCTGAACAATCAGTCTCTCTACTATAGTGTTACACATAAGTCTGTGTAATTCTGTATTGCATTATACATTAATATGTTCATTCTCAGATATTAGGAAAACATGATGTGTGTTGTTTTAGCATAGCTGACTTAAAAAAAAACACACAACAATCATGAGTACAAATCAATACCGTTACCCATGTGAATCATTCTCCCTGCTTTAAACTTTGGTAGCTTTGTAGTTTCACTAAGAAATACAGATAAGATTGAGGTACTTTTTCTTCGAGCTTTATCAGCTCTATACTTTTCTTCAGATGGGATGACAAGAAGTTAGTCCAATATTTCCAGGGAAAAAATTTGATTGATTTATAGAAGAATAAAAATAATAAATTTTTATGTATAAGACCATGGTAAAATATTGTTCAAAGTGCCCCATTTTATTCATTGTGACTCCTAACTTCCCCTAACTTTCTTTGTCTTTCTGTCTGCTGGATATAGAGCTGCCCACAATGATGCCAAAGTCTTTTTCTCAGACTCTGGTAAAGTTACAACAGTATACAGTAAAAAGTATGAGTAGTGGACGTTTATGCATATTACACTATCAGGCAGCTGGATTTGCCCACAGTGCAACAGATCTATAAATCAGAACAAGTGATTCGCTTTACAACACCTTAAGTCAGAGAGAAGAAGGTCCATTTCATTATGAAAAACTTTCCTTGACATTACATCATCTATGGCTGTCTCTGTTGTGACAGCTTTAAAACCTGTAGTTTGTGAAGTGGCACTTAACCTGGAAAATAACATTTTGTCATAATAATGCTGATGAGCATGTTTTTTTTGCAGGTATAATACCCTCTTATAAAAAAAACAAGCATGCGAACAAAAGATACTTCACAATAAGGGAACAAAAATACTTTTAGTCTAGTCTGATAATCTGCAGCATCTAGGGAAATACTTTTATCCAACTTTTAGTTTCTGGACAAAAAATTTTTTTTTTTTTTTTTAAGAATCTGCTGCTAGCAGAGGATACAATTATTTGGTCTCTCTGACTGATATTATTGCTCAGCTCCTAAAATACAGTGAAAGACTTTTCTTTTGACTTGTAGGAGTAAATAGCAACAAAACCCTCACCCGCCAGTATGATCACAATACAGACATAGAATACATACCACATTAAAAATTATATTGCTGGGCAGAAAATCATCCAGCATTCATAGCAGATCAGAGAAGAGACCAAATCCCTTTGTTCATCCAAAACTGACATCGCAACATTGCCAAGGCTGTTGGGTTTCTTTATATTGAGCATGCAGCTCAATTTGTAAATACATTTTGTGACCAGTCTACAGGTGTGACTACAGTCACCAAAAATTAACTTACACACATAGGTTGGCAAAAAAGAGTTGAAAACCTGTTAGAAGGATGTAGTTTATTGTGTCAATAGAATGACACAATAAGTGGGGAGTTTTCCTTAAGGTAACTTCAATGCCCCCTTTTTGTAATTTGTTCTTCCAGCCTGGCCCCTAGAATATGCCATATAGATGCCATCATCTCCTAGCTGTTCAGTAGGTTGTTGAAAACAAACACTGCTTACTAAGCAGCTCCTCAGATAGACAACAGCATCTTGTTCTTGATGATGACCCACCAGCAGAACTGGATGGGTAGAAGAGCCATTGGAGTCTCACCATAGTCCGTGGGCAGAAATGGTGCTTGGTACCCAAAGAGACTGGATGAAGAATGTCTGTGCTGTGCGGGGAATTGGAGCCAGTGGAAGAAGACACCCAGATCCATTCAAAAACTGTCTCTGCAGTGCCAGTACCTTGAAATTTGCTTGTGTTCTTTAGGAACCTTCTGTTTCAGGTTAAACTCATGCAGGAAGAGGGAGCTGGGATAGAAACCGTGTAGCAGCAGCCTTGGTGCTACAGCAATCCATTCAGACGTGTCCTCTTGTCTCTCCCCTCAGAGTTGACACAATACTGAGCCTGCCTCTGATCTCTGTAGGGAGTTTTGGACTGTCCTGTGACTACAAAGAAAACCTAACCCGTCTTCTGACCCCAGCTAGGAAAGTGAATGACTTCTTCTATTATTTTTGGAATGAAATCCAGCAGCCATTCAAAACTAGCACTTGGGAATCTGTCTACATTTACAAGAAGAATGACAACTCGGAGCAATGCCTCTGGTAAGATCCAATTCTGTCTCAGCTGTTGACCTAATAAGCTCCATCTCCATCCTCAGGCATGGTTCCTATAGCCTGTTCTAAGTGTCCTGCATACTGGGAGATGCCTTACTGATACTAAGGAGTGAGAGAAGGAAAAGAAGAATTACACCCCTCAGCTGTACTGCATATTGGAATATATTTAAGTATATTTCTCTTTTAATTATATTTAAGTATATTTAAGTATATTTTCTCTTCCTATGGAAAGCATAGCACAGAAGTTGTTCCTGTTGCAAATACCTTTTTACTCCATTCTTGATGTAAATATTGTGACAGAAGAGTATCCTCCATCATAGTCTCCATAAATGCCTTTTTAGGTCAGGGATCTTATCAAGTTCTACACACTAATTGATTCAATCTGAGTGCACAGTTATTACTCCAAAACATTTCAAAGTTCAAACTGAATATTTCTCTGTTCAGCATTACCCCAGTGTTTGCAGAGTTGAAGCTATAGGCTTACCAGTTTTGAAGAAAAGGAGGCAGTATTTATGTTGTGACCTGAAGCATCAGCCTAAGATGTTTCTTGAAAATGCTGGATTTTCTCCTCTCCAGATATCAAACATTGTTACAGTCAAGTAGATGCTTTTATATACTGACACGTATACTTACTCTTCCTTTTTTGATTCTTGCCTTTCAGTTCATGTGAATGTCTCTATGATCTTTTGAATTACTTTTTTTCCAAAATACCGGCGAATTTAAAACCAAACCCAAACAAAAAACATCAGCTATGCTATACTTAGCTTTTCTGCTTCTCCTACCAATGTTATATAGATGTGGAATCATAGAATCATAGAATCCTTTGAGTTGGAAAGGACCCTTAAAGGCCATCCGGTCCAACTCTCCTGCAATGAACAGGGACACTCACAGCTCGATCAAGCTGCTCAGAGCCCCTCCAGCCTGACCTTGGATGTCTCCAAGGGTGGGGCATCCACGACCTCTCTGGGCAATCTGTTCCAGTGTCTCACCACACTTATCATAAAGTTTTTTCTTATATCCAATCTAAATCTCCCTTCTTTTATTTTGAAACCATTTCCCCTTGTCCTATCACAGCAGATCCTGCTGAAGAGTCTGTCCTCTTTTTTCTTCCAGCCCCTTTTAGACACTGAAAGGCCACACTCAGGTCTCCCTGGAGCCTTCTCTTCTCCATTCTGAACAGCCCCAACTCTCTCAGCCTGCCCTCAAGGGGAGGTGTTCCATCACTTGGATAGCTTCTACATTCATAGAAGATAGCTATTATTTATATTTCCAGTTCATGTCCTGAGGATGTTACAGAATTTTAAGCAGAATTTACAAATCTATTGGCTTCAGACCTTCTTTATAACTTCTGAAATGTTAAAGCTCTTTTTCTTTAATGCTGAATTAATAAAAAATTTAAAATTAATTTTCTGTTTTTTCCCATTTGATTGTCATTATTCATCCTAATATAGCTGTAGGATACACCTCATTCTGCTTCAGTGGAAACTGTCATCTTGAATTTTTTCAATTGCCTAATTTTAAAAATCTGTTTTTGCTAACACATAAATTGTACTACATGGGGCAATTGTTTTCCCCATGAATACTCACAGTGATAGCAACAGCAAGCTATGTCTCCAACTATGCATATGGTCCTGTAAGTTAATGATTAGCAACTCAGTTCTTGAAAACAGAGGGGAGCAGAAGATATTTTGTAGATTATAGGACAGGGATCTCAGTGTTGCTAAATCAAAAGTTTGAAAGCAAAGAAAATCCTTTTCCTTTTCCCTCTGCATTAACTTTACTTCAAACAGAATGTCTCTTCTCAATAGGCTTAGGCTAGAAGATTTAGGAGTTGGCTGTTTTTGCTTAATCTTTTATCTGGCTTTTACTCACTTCGTTGTTTCTTACCATTCTCATTTTTCACCTTCAAGTTTTAAGTGACTCAGTATAACTCTTTTTGCACCTTTTTCCCCTTCCTTTTCCTCTCAGTGTACCTGTATTTTTTATCTGAGATCTTTCTGCAGCTCTCGTTTACTCCTTTGAATCTTCAGATATTCCTTCTAAGACTCCAAGTGAGGCCTTCTACAGCAGAGCTTCCTTGCACTGTTTCCCATTAGTCTCACTTACTCTAACTTCCCCACAGTCCTGATTTTTTTCTTAACTGTTAATGTCTTATTGCATGATTACATTCTCTAAGCCCACCCTTAGTATGACCAGCCTCAAATACGCCTGGATGACTTCAACAGTTCTAGTTCTTTTGTGATCTGTATTGATTTCCTGTGGTGCAGAAAAAAAATGCTCCTTTCTGCTTTTCATGTACTGTAGACAGTCTGTCTAGCGTTTTTGATTTTTAGGAGATATTGCACAGTGCACATGTGAAGATTTAGCCATTTTTTGACTCTATCTGTGCTCCTTCCCTTCTGCCAGGTACATGAATGCATTAGATGCTGGAGTCACACAATTCTCTGAAAAACTGAAGTTCAAGGAGATTGTGAGGACACAAGATCAGTTTAGAAAACTTGTGAAAAATCCCAAACGGAAAAGCAATGGTAAGGAGGGGCTGAGGGTGCACTCTTCTCTGCAGGTAAGTTACTTTTTCATGGAAATCAGACTATTCTATTAGCTACATTTTAGGAGATGGCACAAACCTCTCAGATTCCCCTAACTATCCCCATAAAATATGGAGGAATATCCTTGTTCCAGAAGCCTTCTGGGATGATTTGTCCCATCTAGATATAATGTTATCCTCCTACATGCTCTGATTTGTGAAAGATTCAGAAATCCAGGAATCACAAGTCCTCCTAATCAAGGCCCTAGCTATTACAAGAATGCTTATTTCTCTACCATTCCCATGTTTGCAGCTCTGATATATAAATGGTCCTCACTTGTGCCATCAAAGGGCACTTCTTCTGGAATAGATCCACCTAAACCTAAAAAACAGATGAGTAATACCTCATTTTCTGCAAAGACTAAGCACCTGGCATCAGCAGGCCAAGGGAGGCCTACTTACCTACTTACCACAAGAGTGATAAGTAAACCACTTAAACTATTACCTGAACTCCATATGACTTATAAACTTTCATATTCTATAGCCTGGATTGCATCAGAACTGCTGCTGCTTACTTGAGTGAGATAATGGTGGTGCTCTGGTGCAGTCAAATATAGAATAGGCATTGAGGCACTTTCTACCAGCTGACTTTCCCTTAGGTATCCCCATCCCTCAGATATCCTGTGCAGACGGTCCCAGCATAATGCAGGTAATGTGCCTGAGTCCACCATTGCTACACTGCCTGTCACTCAGGCACCAGGGAGCAAGCAAATGCCCTTTCCTTATCTGTACTTCTCACCTCCCTTTTTGCCCAATCTGTAGTGATCATCATGTGTGGCACTCCAGCTGACATCGGCCAAGACCTCGGGACGGAGACAGTGGATAAGGACATTGTTATCATCCTGATAGATCTCTTCAAGTAAAGTATCACTTTACTTTTCCTATTCTCTCTGCACTTTGCTGAAAGATACAGATAATGGAGATGGTCAGTGTGGAACTGTTCTGTTGAAGAAATGCTTTATTACAAAATGTTTTCCATCATTTCTTTCCTCTTGTCTTGCTCTTTATATAACTTGTTTGGTGTGTGAATCATGGCGCATCTTCTACAACATCCCATTTAGTCCACGAAAGATTTTTCTAAGGTAGTGACCAGAACAGAAATGGTTAACTTCGTCCTGTGGACTCCTCAGGGCAGGAAGCTCTGAAAGAATCAGAGTCCAAAGTTGGTCATGAGCTCTTCACATGAGGACTGTAAACTTTTCATACACTCTATCCAACCAAGGCAGCTGTGGAAATATGGATTGCAGTACATTTTTCTAGGATCCACTTACTCATTATTAAATGACTTAAAAGGGAGGTGCAGTTATTTCTTCCAAGGAGCAACATCTTTGTAACTACAGAAATCTAACTTTTCAGAGATGTTCCTTAGTACTCAGCCTAAGTATTCTGTTGTTCGATTTCATCTTCCCATTACTAATTAGAAAAACCTTGTAGCTGAGGACAGACATTGACTAACTTTATCAGTTGTAGCCTCACGAGCTTTGAATTAGTAAATAAGTGGACCAAGAGCTGATTTCTGGCCCTAAGCTGAAGTGACAAAGCACAGCCCACAGCCATATGGCTAAACCATGCCCAAACTGCTCTTGGGATTGGTTCCTGCCACCCTGGTAAGTCATGGTCTGGGAGAAAGCTAGTTGGTGTAGACCGAAACTAAGTCCAGGACTCCTGTTTGTCCTTCTGGCACACCCAGCTGCCTCAGACTATTTTATATGCTGCCCTCCTTAATTCTGCTACATATCCCTCTGATCTCAAACCATTTTGATTCTAAAACAGAAACAAAATACAGATACTATGTTAGATTTAAATTTAAGCCATAGGAGAAGGCAAAGTCTATGCTTCTACAAGCATCACAGCCCTCAGACAAAGCGATGGGTTTAAATTTCCTTCAGCTCTGAGTCCTGTTGCATCCAAGACACATGGAGTGTTCAAGTCTCCCTCAAGGGAAGGGGTGTGCTGTAGAATTATCCAGTCTGGTGGAGTCTAATGAAGTTTCCTTTCCATCTGGTTAGTTCAGTTCAAGCCTCAATGAAAAGCAATTTGAAATTATCTGGGGTTAAAAGTGTGATGTAAAAGTTGTAAGATTCAGAGAAAGGCAGGAACGGGGTTGTGGAGTTGTGATCTCATCTGATGTCTGAGGAGCAGAGCTTGTGGTCTCCAAAAGCCCTTAATACCTTAGTACTTACTGAAACAAACAAACAAACAAACAAACCTTTAAAAGGATAATCCAAAATTCTAATAAGAGAAGGTTCCTACAAAATGAGTTTTTAATCAGTCTAGCTATAGCAATTGCTAAATTCCTCTGTGGTACATGAATCAATATGTTTTTGCCAGTCTGGGGAGCTCTTCCAGATGGCCTGTCAGGATGATGAAACCAAAGACGCCTGAAAGCTACAAATGTTCCTGCTTGTTTTAGCATGCTTTTCAGTTCACACAGTTTCTTTTGATTTTCCCAGATCACTGAATGAAAAAAATAAATCAGTAGGATGCTCTCTGAGCTCTCTGATTGTTTATGCCCTCCTATTAAATGTTTACAGGGCAACTCCTGCTGTTATCAATTCTAGCAGGAAATATCAGAATTAGAGGAACATGTAAAAGAGTGCTAAAGAGGCCAGAAATGTGCACACCAACATGAAAAAAAGTGACAGATCCCAGTACTATATATTCCAGGAGGAGACTCTATTTTAATCATACAAATTCCTGCTTTGAAGAGGAAAAAATAGGACAGAAACCAGCTACGTTAATAATAACACAGTTTCAGATTGCCAATCTTTTTGATATTACCTTTTAATATAGTTAAGACAAAAGCTGGCATGAGGGAATGAACAGTATAAAGGGTTTTGTCTATGATTAGTTTTTATTTCTATAACTACTGTTTTAGCCTGTTAAGTAACAGCTCCACTGGGGAGGGGAGAATGCTCTGTTACTGCCGCCCCTGTTGCTGACTCTTCATGAGGCTTTTCACTTTGCTTTGCAGGAACACATACTTCAGGAATACTACCTCAGCCCATTACATGCAGAATGTACTCGTCCTGACTCTACCACCAGCTAATAACAACTTCAGCACAAGGACTGTTGACACCAGCCTGGTAACCATGCTGTTTTATATCTGATCATCACATTCAGCTCACACATACTCCTGCACTAGGAAATGAAAACTGAAAACAGAGTGATAATTATCCCCTGTCAGGCTTTTAAGTCAACATTTTCTTACATTCATGCAAGATAACTTTTCGTTCTGCTGTAATGATGTAAAAATGCAGTGTCCTAAGGCAAACATCCATGGTCTCGTATTCCTGCTTTGTGAAGTTCAACTCAATCTTTTCTTTTGTTCCACAAGTATCATGTCCATGGGACTGGGGGAGACTCATAGATCAAGTCTTTCTGACTCCACTTCTGGTTGACTGACAATCTTACATTTTCTGTGTACATGCAAAACATCAATGAAAGAAGATCTATAGGTGTAATAGGGTGCAAGCATGGAAAGATAAGATTTCTGTATGCAGGTATGCGTAAGTGGTGGCAATCACAACCATTACTGTTTCTGACCAGAGATGTTCCAGTTTTTCTAATTTTCAAGAAACAAGTTTTCTTTTTGTTTGTTTTTTGTTTTTTGTTTTTGTTTTTGTTTTTTTCTGTAGGAAATGCATACATGTCCTCTTAAATTTCCTGGAAAGCTGAAACTGTACAAACCCTGTATCTGCTTTACTGATACTGATACTCCCGCAGTCTGCCCAGGAAACAAACTCTACAAGAGAGTTCCTTCCAGGATTTTTGGCTTTGAGCTCCAGCTCTCCAGCTTTTGGCTGGCTTTACTGAGTTTCCAGATCCCTCAGCCTGGGTTCAACCTTTTTTGGGTGCCAGCTCTGTGGCAGGCAGCTGGGAATTTTGGCACAGCTTCTTGCCCTTGAGCTGTGGCCATCTGGAAGCCCAGACTTGTTGGCACCACACCAGATGATCTGCACTGAGCGTCTAATCCAAAGCCAAGAGCTTAGTGTCCCGCTGAGCGCACCTGCTTAGAACCTACAATGTAGGATTTCTTGAATCGTTTGCTCCAGAATCAGCATGCCAGTGCTTTACATGGGCCTCTTATAAGTTTTTCCCTACTTTCCTGTCTTAAGACACCAAAAACTTATTCTTCACAACTTTACACTTCCAAGAGAGAACACCAATGTAGCATTGCCCATGTAATCACTCAACATGCAGATGCTGGCCTTCCATGCTGGAAATTTTGCCTATGCAAATTACCAAAGTTATTGTAGCTTTAAAGCAGAAATATGAACTCTCAGAGTGCTTTTTTTTTTCCTCCTCTTCTAGCTGGAAGATGACTTTGTTATTGGCTATTATAATGCAGTCTTGCTGTTTGGACATATTCTGAAGAAATTTATCTTCTCCCAAAGCCCTGTGTTACCTCTCAGCTTCATCAATGAATTCCGAAATATCACTTTTGAAGGTAAAAATGTATGGTCCTGAGCAGGGTTCACTGAAGTGAAGAAAGAGATTCGTTTTAAGTACACTTAGGATAAGTCCCTTTTACACTAAAAAAAGTCCAAGCATTTCAGTGAGTTTTATTCCTACTGTAATTTTTCTTTTATATTTCTATCATTTTTATCACATATGTTATCTTCAGTATTAACAAAAGCACTACATAGCAGTTGTGTAGAATAACCTCAGTGCCACTGCAATTAGCAACAGCCTGTTTGAGAGCAGATTGCTTTCTGGGTCATGGCTTTTTCAAAGAATCACAGGATCATAGACTCATTAAGGTTGAAGAAGGCCTCTTAGGTCATCTAGTCCAACCATCAGCCCATCCCCACCATGCTCACTGACCATGTCCCTCAGTGCTACATAAGCATTTTTGGTTATCCTTTTTTTGCAACAAGATTCTGGGTGAGAAAAATTTGTGTTCAGGTTCAAAATTCAGAAATAGTAGCAGCCCAGCCTAATAAACATTTTTGTAATCTGTAGAGAAGATCCGAATTGTGTTTGGAGAATACTGCTGACAAAAGAGGGATGGGAGGAGGGGAGAGAGAGCTTCCTGGGCAGCAGAGTTGGAGGACAGGGATGAGGCCCTGAAACTGGTGCCATTACTTTGAAAAAGAGATGAAGTCTGTAAGGAGACTTTTCAGAGAATGAAAAAGGTGCTAGAAGAGCAAAGAGTTTCAGAGTCTGTGCTTCCTCTAGAGGCAAACTGGCATTCAGGTTTCATTTTCAGTTTTCCACGGGTTGTTAAATTGTGGCAATGACTTTTCTACGCTTTGTACCAGAGACCTAGCTTTGGCTTGAGAGAAGTGCTTCTGAAATATGATTAATGTTCAAAACATCTCTGAAGTCCACTTATCAAAGCTTTAATCAATTAATTTCAAACTGATTTTAGTTTACAAAGGCATTGTAGGCCTGGGTGTCTCTGTTGAGAGCATAATCCAGCTGGCAACACAATGGGTCTTCATAGTCAGTGTTCCTGTTCCTCTTACAGGTTGTCTAGTACCAGTGGGCTTTTGTACTTAAAAATCACAGAAATTGATCATTAGGAAAAGACAGAGACAGCACATACACAACAAAATCACAACAGTATCTGTCTGTGCGCAAAGAATATCTGTCACTTCACATCAGAGGTCTGTACCAAAGTGATACTCAAAGCTCTGTATTTATTGTCTCACCTACTTTCACAAAACATGGCTGGAAGTTTCCCAGAGTTTCTTGATATGGTCTGACAGACTTTGTGCTTATCTTTGTTTTAACCATAGCATCCCAGCAAAAAAAAAAAAAAAAAAAAAAAAGGTTTGCTTATGCTTCTGGGCTGCATCAAAAGAGGTGTGCCCAGTATGGCAAGGGAGAGGATTATCTCCCTCTACTCTGCCATTGTGAGGCCCCATCTGGAGTACTGTGTCCAAACCTAGGGCTCCCAGTATAGGAGGGATCTGGAGCTGACTGAATGTGTCCAGAGGAGGCCACAAAGATAATCAAAGGGCTGGAGTATCTCTCCTATGAAGATAGACTGCAGCAGCTGGGCTTGGTTAGCTTGGAGGACTCTCCAGAGAGACCTCATTGTGACCTTCCAGTACTTGAAGGGAGCTTATGAACAGGAAGGCGACCTATTTTTCTTATGGTCTGATAGTGATAGAACATGGGGGAATTGGTTTAAGCTAAAAGAAGGAAAATTTAGGTTAGATATTAAGAAGAAATTGTTTACTCAAAAGGCAGTGAGGCACTGGCACAGCTGCCCAGAAAAGCTGAGGGTACCTCATCCCTGGAAGCATTCAAGACCAGGTTGGATGGGTCCCTGGGCAGCCTGAGCTGGCGGATGGCAGCCCTGCCCACAGCAGGGGGTTGGAATTAGATAATCTTTAAGGTCCCTTCCAACCTAAGCCATTCTGTAAGTCTGTGATTCTATGAATTCCTACTGAAGTCTGCATCCTTTTTTATAATGTCATCTCTTTGGTTTCATTTGGTTTGAAAGATAAGTTACACAGACTTTTTTTTTCTTGTCTCAAATTAATTTTGCATGTTAGTTATAGGTTTCTTTTTTAAAAAAGCTCCTAGAAGTGAAAGGTGTTGAATCACCTTCATTCTTCCTTGTGTAGTTGCTGGCTGAGTAGAGAGTTCAAATAATAATATTTTGGTATGTAGAAGGTGAACTGTGAAAAAATTAACAGAAAAAGAAAAAAAAGAAAAAAAAAAAGAAAAGAAAAGAAAAAAAAGGCATTTCCAAATGAAAATAATGATGCTGAACTTTAGGAAAAATAAAAGAAATCATTAGCAACCGCAGCAAAAGAGCAATCTGAAACCGGTCAAAGAGACTTTCCTGAACAAAAAGAAAGGAAAAAATGGTGGTGAGATTTTCAAGTGTGGTGGATATTGGCAACACTTACTCTTGTTGAAGTGCCTGGCCTCATGAGAACAAAGTAAAGACAGTGCTGAGGGATGTAGAAGGTTCCACCCTAAAATCCTTGGAATGTTTTCCATAGGCAATTTCTCAGTGTACACATCTGCTGACATTAGGAGTCAAGAGATTAAAGGCAAAAAGAACTTGGTTAAAATAATGTTGTTATAGTCAAGCACATAGCTATCAAAAGAGTTAGAGGAATGAAAGTACCTCCACATTTCTTTTCTTGTTGACAGACTCAAATTGCAGAGGGAAATGGGCAATTTTCCTTCTCACCTCTAAAATGATCCCTTCAGGGGAGTTTACTCTGCCATTCTTGGTATACTGAAGAAACCTGACATATATATCTTTTCTATGGCTAGAGGGAGACTTTGCTTTTCTGTGCAGTTAGTTCAACACCTTTTTTTGGGTTTTCTAGAGAAAATGTGGAGCATTATGAAGGAAGAAGCAGTGCTACACTAAACTGATATGTGCTCTAGCATGTAGATGAAGAAGAAAAAGATCCTGAGCATCCTTTTATTTGTCCCATAATTCCTGTCACATATTTATTTCTTGTATAATACAAGCCATCTGACTAATTTTGTGTGTCCACAGGTGCACAGGGTCCCGTGACTCTAGATGCATTCGGAGATATTGATAACAATCTGACCCTGCTGTACACGACACAGTCTGCAAGTGATGTATGTATGTCCAGGAAGCAACTGCTTGGCCTTGTATATGAAAGGAGAAACAAAATGCCATGCATTATCACATAAGAATAGTGTAAACAACCTGAAGTGGTGGCACATCAAGTCATACTGGGCATGCTGGGAGGGGGTCATAAATGGCGTGCTGGACATGGGAGGATTGATGTCATCCAGGTTCACTAAGTGAAGTACAGTTAGTCACTCTGATACATTTATTTTTAGGGAGGGGGGAGGAGTAAGGAAGAATATGGCAGCCTAACATATGGCTAAGCTGAAGAGAACACACCAGTGTGGCAGAAAGAGCAAGAATTACTCTGTTGAAGTTTGAGCTGTGCATTTTTAAGGATAGTTAGAGACAAGGGACCAAAAAAAAAAAAAAAAAGAGAGAGAGACAGAACTGCTGCTGACTGCATTTTTTTCACTCCTACAGCCACAGTACAGAGTTCTTATGTATTTCAACACTCAGGAGAACAAGACGTATGTAGTATCTACCAGTCCGGATTTCATCTGGAAGAGCCACAGGCTGCCTAGTGATATTCCAAGCACTGGTGAGATATCCATTAAACGTACCTCTTCTTCCAAGAGAGTTTACAAAGCCCTCACACCTAATATCCAGCTCAATCTCTGCCCAAACATTGAACCTGACATCCCAGAAACCACCACTGCTTTCGAGTTTTTGGTGACTCCTGGATAAAATGATTAACCCTCTGTGTTATTCAGCATGGCAAAGTACAGCCCCGCTGGTCAGGGTCAGCAGGTGTTGTTTTGCCATTTGCAACATGGCAGTTGGCAATAGGAAGACATATTTTTCAAGGTATGATATGCAAAATAAAAATTCCTGCTGTGGCAGTGGTTGCAAGGGTTAGTGCACCGTAGGTTGGTTGGTGTTAACCTGAGTCATTCGCACTGATGAGTGAGTGTCCAAAGGTGCCAGAGTTATAACCTAGGGCTCCATTAGTTTGCTGTGCTGTTGACCTCCATTAGGAAATGTTATAATGCAAAGCGATAACTGGAGGAACAAGCACTATCTGCAAACTAGAAGTCATTCACAGTAAGGTGGACACTTCTATTCTCCAGTAAAGTAAAACAGAGTGTGTGTCAACCTTGCACCAGCTTGTGTTGTGACAGCTGTGCTGCCCGGCTCCAGCCTTTGCAGTGTTGCTCCAGTCCCATTCTCATCCTCCCCTCATGCACCACATGCACTATGTTATCAGAGGACCTCACTATCTTCAATACATTCCTTTGAAGGTGTCCTTGTTTGAAGTGGCTGCACAAGGGCAAAAGAAAAATATTTGGGAATTGCAGAACCGTTGTGTCTATGAAATGGTATCTTAACATTGAGTACATAATGAAGGCTGGACTTCATGGCCAAGCTGCGCATAGACAAAGTAAAATTGCATCTCACAAGCACTTGATTATTTTGTTTTCCCATTTGTAAAAATACACATTCCTCCAGTGCAAAGATGCGGAGTCCTTCGGTGTGTTGTAACACCAGCAGCCAGGAGGTGGAAGCAGAGTCTAAGGAACAGGAAAATGCGGTTCAACCGGCCATGGGAAACTTCAACCTGATGATAAACCACTGCTCACAAAGCTGAAGTTTTAGAGAATTCTTAGGAAATTGCTTTCAAAATCCCGAGGATATGTCATTATGAGGAGTTGACAGTATCTTGGTATCCTGGTGAAGAGAAATGGTTGTACAGATAGTTTTCAACAGAGGCTGGCATGAGAACATGGAAGGCAGGGAGAACAACAAAACCAAAGCTAGAATGCTGGGCCCAAAATGCAAAGGAGTTCCTAAATAGAGTTCTATGTTGGATGCAAACAATTACATTAGTGTGCTTAAAATCTGTGCTTAGCTACTGCCTGATTTTGGAGGTAGCTAGTGTGAGTCTTGTTGCTTTTTGATGTTATTTTTATTAATTTTTATAAATTTGTTGTTCTTATTTTACTTTCCGTGGTTTTCAACCACTTAATGCATGTACATCCCCACCACACAGACTGTTGTATCCACTTGCCAGTTGCCACTCTATTCTCATGAACTGATTTGTCTGCTTCATTTTTTAGAATGTGGTTACCAAGAAACAGTTATTTTTATTGCAGACCTATCTTAGTTTCTTTTTAAAGAAGAAGTGAAACACTTGGAAGATCTGAGCTGATGTGGCAGTTAGTGCTACTGAATGCACCTCCCACCTGGCTGTGCCTACAGAGTGCCCATGCCTCAGGTGGGGACATAAGAGCACTGCTTAGGGCCATGCTTCATCCTGTTTGGAAAGGGAGCAGGCACATGTCATCTCTGGGGACTGCTGAGCTTTAGCAAAGCCTCTCAATTGGGATGTGACCAAAGAATATCCCTGCTTGGCTACTGTGACTTGCATATGTGGGTGAAGGTAGTTTCTTAAATAGAACACTGTTTTTCAGTGTCTTTCATTAAGTTGTTTACTTTCTATTTTTTTTTCCTTTCTGCAGGCCCACACATACTGACTATTGCTGTCTTCACACTCGCAGGAATTGTGATTCTGGTTCTGATCATCTCTTTGCTTGTCCTGAGGTACCACTCCCTTTGTCCCTCTGTTTATCCTAGAAGAATTTTCCTCCTAGGGCAGTGCCTTTGATTTCTCCTTGAAGAGCTATTCATATCCTTTCCTTACATACCTGGGTAGTTGCTCTTGATGTGAACTGTTTAGCCAGGTTTGCATTTGTAGCATTGTTATGTAAGGATAATAATCAAGGGAGAAGATACAAGCAGGTTTAAAGTTTCTGCATCTGCAAAAGTTCTGACTCCTGCTCAACACAGAATCTCATGTCTCAGACCACTCTTCAGATTTTTTCCACCTACTGTCAACCATTAGCCCACTTGGGGTTCCTTTATGTTTCTTTGACCTCTTGGTGATAGAGAAGTTCAATTCAGAAGGAGTTTTCTGTCTTGAGGGAATCAAAACTCCATAAGGTTTAAGTGTTTTCATTTCATGCAGCCATTCTCTCTCTCAGTTCCTCTGACTCAGTCCAACTCTTCACATACAGACTTTTCTAACAGATGTAATTTCTCAAATATAACATAGTTCATCTTAATTGTGATGGAAAATGCAGAAATAGAAACCAGTGGAATCTCCTTTTGCTGGAAGAAATTTCAGTACAGTTCCAAATTATATAGTCTTCTTTCATATTCAAAGAAATTGTCTTAACTTTGCATCTGGTTTTGGTAGCTCAAGACCCCTCTTATTTACACAGTAGAGAACTTCAGGCAAAGTGAGAAAATCAGGTCTTAACAAAACCTGATTAGAAACAGATGCTCAGGTTCACTTATTTGATGTGGACCAATCTGCCTTGTGGACTAAAGCTTTTCATGATGAAAACTCAAAGATGAAGGTATACAACTCTTACACAGGCAGTTGTGCTCAAGAAATGGAACAGCTGACTATTCCCACATAAGCACTAACATATAAACAGAAAAGTAAAGTTGTTAGTATATGGTCATGAAAATTGACAAAGTTTTGCCTAGAGACAATTTGAGCATGTTATAAAGGTTCTGTACTCTTCCATATTTGCAGATGTATAAAAACTAAACATTCTGTTCATATTTTTCGATTCTTACTGTATACATACCATTGTAGTATCCTCAACCATCAAATATAGAAGTTTCTGAGGATATTTTAGAATAATTTCTTCGTGTTTTCTTCTAGAGAACTTACTTTTTAGTATAGAAATAATAGCAATTGTCTCAACTAGAAGTGCTGCAGCTAACAAGGTAATAAGAGAGACTCAATTATGAAAACGAAGAAAATGCCTCATTAGTCCCTGTTTATCTCTCAGGTTTCTAGGATAAACATATAGCTTCATAGTCAGAACTACACACTTCCCTTTATAGTTCTGAGTGCTGAGGAAAATAGCAAAGCCCTAAAAAACACATAACTAATTATTAGACTCAGTAGATTTTAGTTCAATTTGATGCATCCTTAATCACTAGCTGGTGATTGTTGGAATTGCAGTGCATTCTGATGAGGTAATGAGAACAGTTTTAGAGACTGAACAGAGAAATATCATTCTTACAGCAATTATCAGCACCCCCTTTCCTATACACATATAAGTAAAAATGACTCAGAAAAGGGAATATTTTGTTATTAGTTAATACAATCATTTCTCCCATTTGGAGCACTTGCCAGTAGTCATCATGTGTTGGGATTCCCAATACACTATCTCTCCAGACATTCTTAAATCATGTGTTTTCTTTCTTCTTCTTCTTCTTCTTTTTTTTTTAAATAGAGGAAGTACTTGCATGGGTAAACAGATAATTTGATGAGTACAAGCCTAGTTGCAGCTTTTCTATAAGGGAAGATAGCGTTTGCTCTGAAATTCTGCAAGAAAGACAGCAGTTTCCTTTTTTCCAGTTCCAAGGACTTTTTCAAAATATGCAGAATATAAGAGGTGTCCACAAAAACGGGTCTCATATCATTACTGTTTTGTCTCCTCTCCTGGCATTGTACTCACATCTGTTATTAACACCCAGTGTTGATGCCAGGACTTCGTTTGGCCAGTAGTTGTTTGAGGCACCTCCCTTTAGAGTACATTCAGTAACATACAGGAGAAAACCATATAAAATGAAGAAAGCCCTTCACACCTTAAATTGTTCTGACCTCTCTTGAGTCTCTAGTAATGGTCCAGCAACTGTTCTGATAAATCTTTTCTATTCTTCTACTGTGTCTGTGGAACTGAGACAGCATTTATTCTTTCCCAAAGTTACGGGAATAAGAGTAGCCTCAAACTAGAAGATTATGAGAGACATGCGGCATGTGCTAAAGCCTTGTCAACCTGACACTCCATCCTTGCATCATTCCAAAGCTTCCCTGTCCCAATCTTCTGTCATGAGTTTCAGTTCTCTGGGAGGATATCCTGAAGTTTGTTTGTTTTGCAGGAAGTACAGGAGAGATAATGAGCGTCGGCGGAAGAAATGGTCCCATATATCACCTGAGAAAATCTTGCCCCTGGAGACCAGTGAGACAAACCATGTCAGTCTGAAGGTAAGAGAAGTATGATACCCAAAGGTGGATCTCGGATTTTGTCTCCTGAGAACCATCAATGCTGGGACACTGGCTTTCTCTGACTAAAACACAGGCTATGGCTGCGATAGGAATGGGATCTGTTAACGTTATTGTGGTTTATTTTTTTAACTCTCACTTGCTATATTGATTATTCTCCTTTTACCACTCCCTAATAGAATAAATTTCCCAACAGTTATGCTTGTCTTATGAAGGGGAAAGAGGCTGAGGGCTGATTGCCAGTCTCTTCCACACCACAGATGATTTTTCTGTGCTTTGTTGCACTCGTCTGACTCCCAGGAGCACAGGAGCAGCAAGTGGAGGCCATGGTAGCTGTGGGAGCGGCCTGGCTACCCCACACCTCCTGTGGCATGCGATGGCACTCCCTACAGAGAGGCTTATGCTTCTCTGTGGGGCACACACTGGCAACACTTCCCTCTCTGAGCCTGAGTGGGGAGTAGGTGATAATTGCAAGTTAATGATCCTTCTTTGTTCTCAGATTGATGAAGATAAGAGACGTGACACCACCCAGAGACTGCGTCAGGGCAAATATGACAAGAAGGTAAACTGAGAGTCCATGCTCCTTCCTCTGCTCAGGAGAGCTCTGTGGCAGACATCCTCTCTGGAGTACAGGAAGCAACTCTGCCTCCCTCTGACCTTGCAAAATGGCTTGGGTTCATGGAAGGAATGTGCCGTATCGGGTGCTTTGCACTTTGCTTACTGCCAGGAGGCAAACCACTAGACACCGTGAACCCTGGCCTAGTCCAAAAGCACGAAAGTGGAAACAGAAAGCACAGAAGTTAAATACATGCAGTTTGATAACACGGAGATTAAGATATCAGTGGAGAACAGGCCATTTCCGTGCATTTCTTGTATATTCAGCTGAGCTTGCTCTCTGCCTGACTGAGGTATGTTCATGTTGAGGTACAATCTGCATCACAGAATCATAGAATCATAAAATGGCCTGGGTTGAAAAGGACCATAATGATCATCTAGTTTCAATCCCCCTGCTGTGGGCAGGGTTGCCAACCACTAGACCAGGTTGTCCAGAGCCACATCCAGCCTGGCCTTGAATGCCATTCCTGTCTACGTGGTAAATCCTTTGAGGGAAATGTAACTACATTGCTTACTTAGTTGACTGAGACAGCAAAGCAATAGGCAAGTGTCACTGAGATATTCATCCAGCATTTCTTGGAAAAGAAGAATTAATCACTACAATTTCTTTCCACTGATATTTTTTCTTCAGGTGGTGATCCTGAAGGATCTCAAAAACAATGATGGTAATTTCACAGAGAAGCAAAAAATAGAACTGAACAAGGTAATTATTGTATGTAGCAACTGGACTCAGCAGGGTGGGATGAAGCCAGTGAGTGAAGTCATTGCCCTCCATTGCCATCTCCATCAGCCATATATATGCTTATGCATGTTTGTGAGGTGGACAGGTGATCATCAAAGCATATTGCTTGATGACCTCTGTCTGCTTGTGTAATCACATCATCAGCTGAAGCCAGTGAAACTGAGGTGAATGAAGTAATTCATGCACTGTCATAAGGCCCTGCTAAATACATTTTTACAGCCAGCGCTAAAAGACTATGCACTCTGCTCATGTGCTAATTCATTTGTAGTGGAATATTGTAGTTAAATCTCATTACTGAATGCCAAATGCAGATCTTTCAATATAAGTAGCTCTGTGCTGACTTGTGCATACTGATAATTCTAACATTAGGGATGAACTTGGCTACAGTACTGCATTATTTTGAATGACAAGTTTTCTTTTTTACACAACACAGCTATACTGTGAATTCACTAATCTCTAAAAATACTCTGAAGTAAATCACATTCGTCTGTATATGTATATGTATGGACAAAGTCCATAATATCATGCAGCATCATTACAATTTTATTACCTGCTCACTTGCTGATTGATTAACAACATTCTCTCTCTCATAATGGCTATTTTTATTAGCTGTGAGATTTGACTAGAGAAGCAATAATAGAGATTGTAGTTGTCTCTGGAATGATCTTGCAGTATCCAGCAGCATCCAGTTTTAACTCCCTAATCTGGAAGGCTCTGGAATGACAAATGCCTTCAAGTACTTCAGTCTTGCCTGGTTCAAAGGGAACTCCTACATCTTATCAGAGCCTGAGATAAAAAGTCACACAAGCGTCATCGACCTGTGTTTCTATACTAGCAACAACTGCTTTTAAAAATAGATGTAATATTGCTGTTCTAGCTCCTGCAGATTGATTATTACAACCTGACCAAGTTCTATGGCACAGTGAAGATGGACACCATGATCTTTGCAGTGATTGAATACTGCGAAAGAGGTTCCCTGCGGGTAAAGAATTTTGCAGTTTCCCTTCCCCAAATTATTGTAGTAAGAAAACAGATCTCCTGCTCTGTGTGGCCCTCATGCTGCAGCACTGCACCAAGCAAGTGGTGGCAAGTTTCTGATTTTTAATTCCTTCCCCCTTGCTCACCTCTCCCAAATTTTCCACCTGTGGCTGCCATCAGACTGGTGGTTCTCAGTAGCCAGAGGATGCAGTGAGGTGTGAGCAAGGGAATATAGGCAAGAGCTCTACCCAGACAACAGCAACAGCCAGTATCTATTATTTTCCCCACTGGGAGCATATAGTATCTAATGTTTTCTTTATTTTCCAAGACATAGCTGTTGTCTCTGCTGATGCTCTTGCAGCTCCTGCAGTGGCCCCAGAGTTTGAAAACACAGAGAAAATAATATTATATTAATAAGAGGCAAACAGTTTAAGACTGGAATATAGTAAATCCTGTGTTGTCAGCCCTTCGTTCTTGTTTATAAAAGGAAACAGTAAATTGTTACCTGGCAAGAGGAAGGAAAGATTTAGACTTTATTACTACCAATATTATTTCAGAGCTAATCATGGTGGTGTCAAATTTTCTGCAAGCTTCTTAGACCATACGAAGACTCTCATCAGTAGCAGTGGGCTCTGGAACTCACATGAAACTCACAACAAGGCAGCAAAATAGCAGATCTATCTCCAATTATTTTCTTCTAAACTCATGGAGACTGACTTTTAGCAATGGAAATCATTGTGTTTGGAACTGTAAATCACTGTCCCTTTATGTTAAAAGATCACTCTACTTTGAATTTATAAGGCCATGAGTTAGTTAGAAGTAACTGGATTGAGCACAAAACACATGCAGTCCTTTCCTCTTATTTCCTTACTGAAATGAGTCCTTACTCATTTCTGTCACAGCGTGATTAGATTTACCTTGGCTTTAAGAGCAAATTCACAGTTTACTTTAATTACACAAAACCCTTCTTTTCTGGAGTCCTCACTTTTCTAGTTCTCTCTAGTAATCCTAAAATATATGTAATTTTCTCTGTCTTTTGAGTCAACTTATGCTCTAGTGCATGCATTCCTAACATGCAGGTCAGCCTTACTCAGTCCCTAGATGAAAGGCTATGTAATACTCACATCTCACTTCTGCTTTTTCCCTGATGCAGATTAGAATCTTTTTTTTTTTTTTTTTCCTTTACAGGATGTTTTAAATGATACAATCTCCTACCCTGATGGCACATTCATGGACTGGGAATTTAAAATCTCTGTCATGTACGATATTGCCAAGGTAAGTGGACTGTTGACCATGCAATATTAATCAGCCTGTCCTTTCTTGCAATATGGATCCTCTGGAGAAAAGCAGCTACTACAGTTTTTTCCTTTCCTTTATAGAATTTGATGCCCTTCCACTCTTCCTTCTGGCCTCCAGGAGGCCAGGAAAGCCTGTGACTCTCAAACTGAAGGAGTAAATGGGGACCATATTTGGCTTTGGGGTATATATGAATAATAAAATATGCCTCAAAAAGACATGGGACCCAAAGATCAGGGGGTTATGATTTCATGATTGCGACTCTGACTAGTAGGGCTTGGGCAGTCACGAGCCCTGTAAATTAGACTGTGCTGTCTGGCCTCGGGCAAGACATGTAAAGGAAAACTGTGTTCTTTCAAAATGATGGGATTATTTCAATTTGTACCCAGAACCAAGATCAAGTTCTTTTTCAAAACAAGCTCTGTTTATTCTGCATTTTATTTTGATTTTCCCACTCTCTAGAGACTCTCATTTTTCAGTGGGACTAGCCATTTCAGTCAGCTAGAGAGGGAAAAACAGAAATTCATAATAAAGCAAATTCTATTCTACACTGCAGACTTGCATCTGATTAGCTGGTAATTAAGAAAACTTTGTAATTCACATACACTATATCTCTGCAGGTAATTCGCAATACTTTTTGGTAACTTTTTGTTGTGCACAACTGTTGTTGGAAGTTTTTCCATTTCCCTACACACTTCAGTTCTGCCTTGGTCTCCATGATGTATGACTCCACTGTTCTAAAGAGACACTGAAAATCTTGCTTTTTATTAGAACCTCCTTAATCCAAATTGTCACAGCTTATTGGCCTTGTTAATGACTTTCAGGTTCAGTTACTGTTCAGCATTAAGCTTCATTTTAAATAGCATCAGTGCAATTTCCCTTCTTCCTTTCAGCATATCGAAAGAGTAGAGCATTTTTCAACCCTTTGCAGTTCACCTTCAGATATTACCTAAGAAAATGGTGAACAGGTAGTGGCTCCGTTTATGAGAGATGGAAAACTGCAGTTCCTCTGAAGGGAGTGACCAAATGCCCAGTGACTACACTAGGTGTGACCAGGACTTCAGAACCATTTGTTCACTGCACCATTGGTAATAAGGATATGGAGGCTGGGGTTGGGTGGAACGCTGTATCCATTCTGGAAAGGCTCCAGAGCATTATTATATTAGCAATGTTAGAGTTGGTGTGAAAATTCAGACTTAGGAATATGTGGCAATTTATGGTCATTTGGATGATCTGCCAACTTCTCCTTTTCCTATTCCTGCCTCCTCCTGATGCTGTGGTGGAAATCTCTGGGACCTAGACATTATCATGCACTTCTTTTTCTGCTTTTCACTAACGTAGCTTTCCACTTGAATGTCTTCTAGCTTTACTTAAATTATATCATGACCCTTCAGCTCCTGTTCCCCTCATCCCAATGTATGCTCCTCTCAAGCCCTCTAGCAGTTCTCCAGACTGTTGTGTTTTTTTAATTTGTTTTCAGATAGGTATAGAAGATGATTAGAAGGAAAGAGGAAAATATTATCAGGCAGATCTGTGAGACTTCTTTCTTCAGAAATCATTAACAAGGAAGCTCTGGTATAAGGAAATCAAAATTACCTTTGCCTCTGGTTTGATGCTGAAACTTATTAGGAATTCTGCTATAGAAAGGGGGTGTATTTCCTGAAGCAGGGGAAAGATGGCATAGCTGGAGGAAATAGGCTCTGAAGCAGGCAAAACATCCTGGATAATGTCAGCAGGGCTGCATGATAAAAACTGCTTAATCAAGAAGCGTGTTCCTTGGATATAGCCTGCGCACAGCCTCTGTAAATTTTGGCAGGATCTAGACAGGCCCAGGATAACCAGTCCAACCACATTCTCAAGGGATTGCATGTCTTGCATACTGCCTGTGTCTCAGACATACATGTACTGTGCCCCAAACTCAGCTTATGTCTCAGTGAACTCTTGTAGCACTTAGTGGTCAATTCTCAAGGAAAGATGGGTGCGGAAGGAGAGAAAACCCAGCATGTCATACAATGTATGCCTGCCCACATAATCTCTGTAATCTTGTTTAAATTCAATCAGTTACCATCCAGAAGGATGAGTTGCACATGTAGGAATTTCAGTGGAAGACCATTCACATAAGAAACTAAACAGATAAAACCTATCTGTTCTGACTTCCACAAATTATACAAAAACTGCTTTGAAAGTAATGCCTCCTAGTTTATTATGTTGGCCCACAGTGTCAGAGCTGGATGCTGGTGGTTGAACCTTTCCATCAACATGCTGTTACATTTTGTTGCTATGTGGCAGATGGCAGCAGAGGGGCTGGCTGACAAAATGGCATCTGACATGGAAGCGCATATGAAGCAAAGGTGTGTCACCAACTTCATCCATGGGGAAAAGCGGCACCCATTGACATTTGGTGATGCTTGCTGAATGATGATGGAGATGAAACAGTGGATGTGAGCACAGTGAGGTGGTGGGTGGTGCGTTTCAGTGGTGGTAACAGTGACAGTGGGTCACCTATGCTGGTGCAGATTTTTACAAGTGTGACATGCAGGCTCTTGTTCATAGTTGGTGAAAATGCATTGGTAGTGGTGGTGACTATGCTGAAAAACACTGTTTTGTAGATGATAATTTGCTTTATCAAACAGGGTTATTCTGATCTTTTTATCTGTCATAGTTTCCAAGCAAATAAATAGGAGGCATTATTTTTGGAGCAACCGATGTAGATGATGCTTTATCTACTGAACTACAGAAAGGAGGATTATAGGAAGAAAAACCACCAGCAATAGGCTAAAAGTAGATGTGAGATAAGTATGGTAGAAGAGAGAGATGTAACAGAATAAATATTAGCAGGAAAGTGTAAATTAGCATACCTACAGTCTTCCTCAGTTTACACCCACTTATTAATGTTTTTTTCCTGCTATGCCTCAGTGCTGGCCACTTGGCATGTATTATACACATTTGACTCTCTAGCACTAAATGAACAAAATTCAGAGGTGGTAAGTAAAAAATAGCAAACTACACACCTTTGTATGCACGTGTGTGTTGTAGTCAGGAGTCTGAATCTCAGGAAATACAGCTGAAACTATCCTGGCCAATCCTCATTGTGCTCACTTCCTAGTTTAGCTCATGGATAATGGATACGCATTCACTAGTGCAGAGAAAGCCATTAACAGTCAGGTCAGAAGTGACCTTTAGGACTCTACTCTGACCACTTGCCTCATGTGATAGTGTATCATCTAATCTGCATTGACCCCGTGCTACCTGCTGCTTTGCTGAGAAGGATCTACGGAAACGTTTCAGAACGGAGTTTCTGGTGAATGGTAATCTTCAAAGATGATACAGACATAAAGAGCAATTATTCTCATCTTCGGTAACCACTGGGTAGATATGTAGTTGGAGACATTTTTTTGTTTGACGTTCCAACAAATCTGTACTAGATATAACAAAAAAGTATTTACTACAAATGAAACCAACGCTTCTGTAGGAGCAAACAAACTCCTCTAATGCCCTAGTGGCAATCTGATCTCATCAAAACTCAAGATGCTCTATCAGGCTTTTGTTAACCAATAGGAAAGATGATCATTAGTTAAGACATGATCCTTCTAATAGTCCATCCTCATTTCTTAACGTTGACTGCTTCTATGATCTTGGAAATTCTTTTCTGTAAAATACTTCTTTCCTTCCATGACAGAGAATTGTTGATAAAGGCAATTTTATTGCTTAGACCCATATTATGCTAACACTTCATATTCTTTGACTCTAGTAACAGCTGAGAGTCTCATATATAGCCTTGTCTTCTCCCTATTATCAACCACAGGGAATGTCTTACCTGCACTCAAGCAAAACAGAAGTCCATGGTCGGCTCAAATCCACGAACTGTGTAGTGGACAATCGCATGGTTGTGAAGATCACTGATTTTGGCTGTAATTCAATTCTGCCTCAAAGGAAAGGTAAAAACAATATCCAGTTAGACTGTCCTTCATGCTTTCCAACCCAGTGGAATTTTCTTATATTCATAGTACAGTAGGGCCTCATTACATCTTGTACACAGTACAAAACATACAGTACAACTTTGTTTCATGTAGCAGCCATCATACAAATTATATATTAAAACTCCTTCATAAATAACACAATAAAAATTATTAGCAAGTAGAGAGAGAAATTAGGCAGTGTTGGTGAGCAGGAAATAGAAGATAAATTTTTAAATTATATTTGGAAAAACAAGGAGACTTCCCTTGTGACTGAGATGCAACAAATATTTTCAAGATCCAAAGGCTTCATGCAAAAATCTCCCATAGGACTTCATGCAAAAAGCTCCTGTAAGCAGTAATGGTGGAATCGTGTGAAGAAAGAAAAAGGAATTAAGTACCACTGGGTACTTTTCTTGTCATTGATTAGTTATGTGTTATCACAGTGTTGTGTAATTTAATTTAAATATTAATACTTGTGACTCTGATCATTCTTAAAAATTAGTAATGATATGTAATGATAACAATGTTTTTCATTCAGAATATAACAATATCTGTTCAATAAGCTCAGATTCGTTTTCACAGCTTTTGTTTACATTTTTTATTTCATCTAATAATCATAGGACAATTCTGTAGAACAGAGCATTCCTTTCTACATATCTCTTTTTTTCTTGATCTTGAGTGCAAAAATAAGCCCTTCTGAAATTATGTCATCTGAATCTGTTTAGCAGAGTTTGGAGTTTAATAAGCAAAATACTGCACTGTAACTGTTGTATATTATCTGAGAAGAACCTGTGGTTGCAAATGGATTGAGAGAAAGAATTAACATTGAGACACAAAGAAAGTCAAGAGCAGCAATGAGAACATAAGAAGAGTAAGAATGTGCACTGAATGAAAATGTTCCGTTAATTCATTATTTTACATGTTACACTTACATTTATATTACGATTGAATTTTAATGAATTTATCTTTTTACGCTGCTCTTAAATACTTTGGCCATCATCCTCAAAATTTCTGGCCCCTAGGCTTCTTTCCTTGAAGAAAACTTATTGCTTCACAAGATATCTACAGATTCATTGTGGCTGGATGTTGCAGCCTGATATCATAGCACTGTTTTCAGGGTCACTATCTGTCCGTTATGATACATCATCAGCATGTCATATAAAACAGTCATACCATGGCAGTATTCTAGTTTTGAGGTACAGCAGGGCTTGGTGACCTAGAAGTACAGAATAATAATTTCTGTAGAAAGAAAGTGGTTACACACAGGTAGTATTTATGTCAAGCTCAAAAGCACTTGGGGATTATTTCTATAGAGTCATGATACCAAGGCTACCAGGAAATATTACAGCCTTCTCATATGACATCTTGAATAACACACTTCATGCATCTGGTTCAAGAATTTATGCCTCTGCATTTTTTAATTTTTATTTTTTCATAGCACTGGCATTCCTTGGTCTTATACAGATGCATGGGCTATTTCTAAGAAGTCCATGTGAGGTAGATTAAGAGAAGCAAGTTCACTGCCAACAAACACAACTTTTCTGCAGGTGTGAGGGTCTGCACCAACAGTGAAATATAGTACTATTATCAAATCCCAGACAATTGCAGGCTACCACATCATAGTTTTATCTAACTCCATTGATGTCAGCTTATCCAACTAACTACTGAATGAAGAAATAAACAGTACCAGTGAGCTCCATGTTTGGTACGAAAAGAGTAAATGGAAAATGGCCAATGAACGCTTTTGAGAAGGATCACCCTTTTCAATTACTTTTCTCCTGTACCCATTTACCTTTTTTCCTACTGTCATCTGGATTTTCAGACCTGTGGACAGCTCCTGAGCATCTCCGTCATGCTGACGTATCTCAGAAGGGTGATGTGTACAGCTATGGCATCATTGCCCAGGAGATCATCCTACGCAAAGAGACCTTCTACACCAGACACTGCCAGGACATCAAAGGTAAATCCACAATTTTCTCCCCCACTGCAGCCTTCTACAATACGTAACTCAGTACAGTACAATACTGTAGCTGCAAGTAGCACATCCACAGGTTTTCGTGTAAAGTGCTGTCTCTGGTAGGTGCTTGAACCAGTGCTCCTTTCACTGTGTGATGAACAAAGAGTATGTTTGAAGGATATCAGTGTGGAGTCAATCTTCCTGTGAATCAGGTTTTTATTGAGTTTTCTTGCCCTTTCTCCTCTCCTTCCCACCTCTTCCACAGTGTTATAGAAGTTAACTTTATACAAAAGCTGCTTAGATGTATTGTGACATTTAGGGCTACAGAGTGTTGTGCACAACATATAGTAGTTCACTTGTACTAGGCATCACAGTGTCAAAAGAGAACAACAAAAACTCAGCAGCATGACATGAGAACAACTGTTATTTAAAAGTTGGCAATTCACACTTTGTTCCAGTCTGTCAAATTAACTTTAGTAGTTTATCTTCTATTAGAAAAAGAATCTCCTCACACAGTGCATCCATTAAACCCAATTTAATGCATGTTGTGACATTGTTTTTGAATAGCTAACAGTATAGACAATACCAGTGCCCTGAATCCCATGAATTATTTTATATTGCAATGTTATAGCCACCATAAAGGAATTCAGGTATGAGATTTTCCTAGTGACAGCTACCAACAAGTTTAAACATCGCCTTTGTTTCTGAGTCATTCTGAAAGATCTGCCTCACATTTGCTAAAACATCTAGAGCAGCAGCTGGCCACCCTAACAGCTCCTTTCCTGAGTAACATTTGAGAATAACATCTAGGCAGCCTGTTCCAGTGCTCCGTCACCTCACCGTAAAGAAGTTCTTGCGCACATTGGTGCGGAACTTCCTATGCTCCAGCTTCTGGCCATTTCCCCTTGTCCTGCCTCCGCACACTGCTGAAAAGAGTCTGGCCTCGCCACTTTGTCCCCCACACCTTAGATATTTATAGACCTGGATCAGGTCCCCTCAGTCTTCTCTTTTCAAGGCTAAACAGACCCAGATCACTCAGCCTTTCTTCATAGGGGAGATGCACCAGGCCCTTCACCATCTTTGTCGCTCTCCGCTGGACTCTTTCCAAGAGATCCCTGTCTTTTTTGTACTGACGAGCCCAGAACTGGACACAGTACTCCAGATGAGGCCTTACCAGGGCAGAGTAGAGGGGGAGGATCACCTCCCTCGACCTGCTGGCCACGCTCTTTTTAATGCACCCCAGAATGCCATTGGACTTTTTGGCCACAAGGGCACACTGCTGGCTCATGGCCAACCTGTCACCAGGACACCCAGGTCCCTCTCTGCAGAGCTCCTCTCCAGCAGGTCCCCTGAACTGCATCAAATAAGACAGGGTAGAGAAAATAAAAGTCCTCTACTCTTTATCTTTGGGAAGAGGGAGCCAAAATCTTCATAAATACAACAGTTTTACAAACATCTCCCATACAGATGGAAAAAGGAAAGACTAATACTCTTCCCTCCTGATTTTGGCTTGAAAAACAAATCCATAGCAAACTGCATTGTTTTAATCATTTACAGCAGTTACAGCCTGCCTGTGTGTTAGCATTACCCTGTGTTTTCTGGCTGTTCTGAGATGTGGTGGCGACCTCAGTGCTCTGTTTGTGGCTTCATAGTCACAGTCTGGTTCCTTGTTTTAACTTTGACATGAGTCCTAACACTGCATCTTATCATTTTAGAAAAACTGTTCAGTTAAAATACCGTTAATATAAACCAGATGAAAGTACTTCTAGCACTTCAAGGTGTAGGCTTCCTAGTGCTGGGCATGGTGACACACAGCAGCTTAGTAAGAGAGAGAGCTTAGTAAGAGAGCAATAAAGCTACTGGGCCTGAAACCCAGCAAGTCCTGTGTAAGTCTGGATTCATTGTAACTTGAAAGGAAAAAAAACATCCTATTTTCCAAACTAAGAATTTTCCATTAACTAAGGAGATTGTATTCTCCCAGAAGCTTTTTCTTCTAAATCATTATTGGGTGTGTGGGCTATATATCACTGATCTAACAGATGCGCTTATTATTTGTGATTTTGATTCTGCAGCTTCAGTAAATATGTTCAGTCTGGTTTCAGCAGTTCATCAGATTTAATGTAATGGAAAGGAATGAGTTATTGTATTTTGTTGAAGTGGTTCGTCACTAGAACATCAGGATTCATTCATAAGATGAGACAAGAAAGTACACCATACTCACTCAAACGTCCTTGAATTTTTTTTGTGTCGTCATCTAGTTTTGAGAAAGAGTAGTTCAGACTTGGTAATATCATTAATTTACAAATATCGAAGTCAAAAAGAGGGAAAAGAATGCAAAATTAGAGTCAATGGTAATGCGCAAGAAAATGTCCCTGATGCATGTTACATTCATTTTAGTGTCCTGTGAAAGTCTTTCAGTAGCTAGGTTATCAGAAATCAAGTTCTGCAAGTTCAGATATATGGATATTTCAGGACGATTGATATAACCACTTCTTCAGGTCTTCATTGGCAGCAGCAAGGACTGTGTTCAGATTTAAGAGTTGTTTGATAAAGCCTGCACCTAGCCTTCATCCACAACTGGGAAAATTAAGCTAAATTTTCAAATACTCAGTGACCTAATTCTTTCAAAATACAAACAAATATTGATCAACTTAGTGTACAATAATATTTTTATTACTGAGTGAAAAGAAATCCCAGAAAGAGGATGGGCATACAGAACCATATTCTAATGTATAATGTAACTAGGTCATAGTCCTTTACTGACTTATTTGTGAGACAGCTGTTAGACCAGCTGCCACTCCACTCTTCTGCAGAAACACCTCATTCACTTTCAAGACTGAAATTTTGTCATGAGCGAACGTAACTCATGCTCCTTACTCCACTATTTCTTGCCACTGGCTAATTGCAGTGCTGCTAATAGTTGGTTTTATTTCCTCTTTCAGGTGCATATGCAGCTTGGAAATTTATCACATTCCTCTTGCATTCATGAGACTAACACAGGTTCTACTGTCTCTTTACTCACAGGATTTGGGCTTTCCAATCTGCGTGACCCTTAAACAAAACCTCCTACTCCTTCTCTAGTCTGTAACATCTGCACCATAAGCTGCTTCATTTTTTTAGAGTGATCATGCACACTGGCATGCTTAGACATTCCTTGCTACTCTGGACATGCACATACCAGCCTGATGACAAATCTTCCTTGTCTCATTACATGCTTCCTTTGGCAAAATTGTCTTCCAAATATAATCAAACATCATTAATAAATATGTTTCACACTTGCAATTTCTCTCTCTTCGGTAGAGATCAAAAAGTTCTTCTCTGAAGCTCTTGAGAGAGTAATTATTTTTGGTTTTTTGTTTTAGCTTTTTAAATTGTTCTGCAAATGCAGTCTGCTTTCTGATGTGTTCTGAATCCAGATAACTTTCATAGAATGGATTTCATGAATATAAGTACAAATAAGCTGACAGATCCAGTGTTTTTAAACCATACATGTTAGTAGCTTAGTTTTAAGGAAGTTGAACATCTGGATGATGATTTGAACTTATCTGGTGAGAATTGTAGGTCTCCATGCTTTTTATCAAGTTGTAATATTCTAGTGGGCTTCTTGTGTGGTTTTTACTGTAGCTATAGCTCATGCTGAGAGGCACACTAATTATACCTAATGTTCATTTGGGAGGATGCCATAACCATGTCTACCATGACCAATAAATACTCGAGTACATTCCTATTCGTTTTGCTTTCAGGGGCACTCAAGCAAGCCTGTTACAATCTTAAGCCATATTTTTAGAAAAGCTCCAGAGTTGAAATTCACATCAAAGAGAAAGGAACCACCTTCAATGTTTTGTTCGAATAATAACTTGTAACATATCATAGGATGCTATACAAAAGGAATGTTCTTCCTTTGTTTTTTTTTTAACCCCTTTAATTAAAACTTTACGTCTTTTTTTCTTTCTTCAGAGAAACTTTACAGAGTGGAGAATGACAAAGGAATGAAGCCTTTCCGACCAGACCTATCCTTAGAAACAGTAGGAGAAAGAGAGATGGAAGTAAGCTAATCATTAACACAGCCATTTTCTACGTGTAAGGTAGAAGTCTTGCCAAAACTAGCGCTCATGATGACAAGAGGATGAAAGCTGTGCACATTTTCTGCCATACGCCTTAACCTCATGGGAAGAAACAGTGTTCTGTAGTTGTTACTAGTGAAATGAAACAAAACTGATGAAATTTTTTCCTCCTTCTTAAGTGTATTCTGTGCATCAACTCTTTAGTTTTTTTTCTAGTGATGTTTTAAAAACTAAAACATGTTAAAAATACATCCCTTGTGAACTTGAATTTTTTGTTAAGTTGGTTAGCTTGAAAAAAGGCAAATGTATCAAACAGTGCTCCCCTGTCTCTCTAGGATTTGTGAAGAACTATATTCAGTTTGTCTGAGTCAAAGAAGGCCTTAAAATAAAAAGGGAACATGTATTTACTTAGTTTAGTATAGTCCTAGGGCTGAGAACTGCTAGCTATACCAAAAAGAGAGTGTTATACTGATATATGAAAATTTTCATATCATCATACAATGAGGGTTTTATATCTGTGTGTGGGAAAGTAGCAGTCTGACCTGCATAGGAAAGGATCTGGGATGGATCAGTTTTCTGATCCAGTATATGATGTACTCACAAAGAGACTGTGTTGCAATAATTCAGGGAAGGACTATCATTATCTTTTGAAAGTACTCTCAACTAGTAGTATTGCTTACTTATCTTTGTATTACAGAGGTGTGTCTTTTGAAATCTGGTATTATTCCAGGGTGCTGAACTGATATATGAACTTCAAATAATGTATGAGGACCATAAGGGATAATATCTTAGGGGAACTGGTGGCAGTACAACACATTTCGCAGATGATTCATCTCACCTATCTTCAGATATCTACAAGCTGTATATCTCATTCTGACCTAGCCCCCATAGGTCCCTTTTACATCTGATAAGAGAATACTCATCCATATGACTTTTTGGACCTATTTTATATTTTTAAATCAAGATGTCTTTCTCTCTACTGATTACAGATGTTACCCAGGGTGGCTTTTAAACTAAACTGCAAGTGGCATTTGCCTCAGGTAGCTTTAGACATCTGCAATGCACATACCTGTATTTGAACTACTTACTCTGTAGTCACTGGAAAAAAAAAAAATCAACACCTACATGGTGCTACTCTTTTGATCTTTTCTGGATAGCTCTAAGATGGGATGAATGTACCTCCTTCCATGTATTATACAGCCCCTAAGACTTCTTGCTCAGAGTCTGTAGTGCAGAAGTCTGTACTGTGGACATCAGCATATTCAGTTGATGAACCCCATGATTTCTGGGTGAGTCACCAGTTTCAGAAAAATTCCCAAACTCTGGTACTGGAAATAAATTACCACAGCATTTACTTCCATGTCAGTAACCATACCTGGCACCAGTTGCAAGAGGAGATCCATTTACATGCCTTTCATTTACATATTGCAAATTCAACTGCAGATCATGTCACTAGCCACCACAGAGTTAAGTTTCAGATGCCTGCAATGAATGTCCCAACCATAGATTCGTAACAGTTAGTCACACATTTCAATATGTTGCTTATCAAGAGTAACTGGAAATACCCTGATGAACTAGTGCCATTTAGCTCCATTATCTTTCTATATCCACTACTCAGTTGTACTTTTTCCTTAAATTTTCATTTGAAGGTATACACACTAGTGAAAAGCTGCTGGGAGGAAGACCCAGAGAAAAGACCTGACTTTAAGAAAATTGAGAATATTCTGGCTAAAATATTCAGGTGAGCATCTGGGGCTGAGTTTTTCAAGTTGCTCCAAACTCCTTCTGGGTGCTAGAAAGCTTGTATTTTTAAGTATGTAATCTGATGTTAATACAGTCCAATTAGTGCCTTCACTTTGATTTATTCTTTGCCGCAAAAGTAGGTGAGCACATGCATTTGTGTATGTACTCATGTGAATGTGTGCAGCTATGCATGTATTAGCTGAGTGAGGGTGAGATGATCACCATACCTTAAATTGGTACATTGTAAAAGTAGCAAGCTGGATAATTAGAGATTCAAACCATTCAAATAATCTACCTCCTGTCTCTAGTCAGGAGTTGGATAGTGAGTCATGTTGTCTAAGTTTCGGGAAATAAAGGCATATAAATGTTTGGAGGATGATGGGAAAGTTTGGATGAGCTGCGTTGTGGCATAAATGGCCACTCAGATGGTCTCAGATAGAGCTGACTAAAGATGTTCGTTTGTACCTCATCAAGGAATTAATTATGGGGTTTTGTAGGTATAAAGTTGTGGGATAAGCCTCCATCCTACAAGAGGATGGAGACTGCTTTCTGCCACATGCAACAAGGTGTTCTTCTCATGAGCGGTCTCAGATAGTGCACCTGTGACAGGAACACTTGTTTAAAGTAAGAGTGGTTTAAAGACTGGTTAAAAGGAACTGACATTTCCTCTGTCAGGCCCCATCTACTTTCTGACTACTGAGACAAATGGGTTATGAGTAGCCCATGTTACTGTGCTTCTGCTTCCAGCAATTACGCTTCTGACTGGAATGTGCTGAATCTTGTGACCAAAACTAACTACTGAACTGCTAATTGTTCCATTGAATTGTTCTGACTTCCACAGAGGTAGTCCCAAAATGGTCTTAGTCTTTCTGTCTAAAATCCCCATTTAAATGTTACATGGAGTTCTCTATCCATCTTCTTTAGCTTCCTCTTGGGATTTGAGCTTGCACAAATGAATGTTTAGGGATAACTCAAGGTAACCCAGACTTGGAAGTACTATCATGATCTGAAAGTGCTTTAAGAATTAGCAGCTATGAGTGACAAGTGTGGGGCACGGTCTTTTAATTTGTAAACATAAGTCCTCCAAGCAACAAAAAAACGTGCATTTTAAGCACTTTCATTCTATCCGTACAGAAGTTAAACACTGGAGAAGTTTTGTTGCTTCTCTCAACAGTATGCTTCCATCACCTTTTCTTTTTGTCTCTTCTGCATTGTTGTTATTCCCAGTAATTACCATGGCCAGACCAATGAAAGCTACATGGATACCCTGATTCGACGTCTACAGCTGTATTCCCGGAATCTAGAGCACCTGGTGGAGGAGAGGACAGAGCTCTATAAAGCAGAACGAGACAGAGCAGACAGGCTTAATTTCATGTTACTTCCAAGGTTAGTATTGAGCAGAAGGATTTTTACTGACATTTTATTTATATATATCACCTGATTCTTGGAGAGCGGGATCAATATCAGTCTTATATTGCTTCAATTTACAGAGTGAAATGCTACTTCCTCTGTTCTAATTCTCCCCACCTTACAGACAAAATGTCAAATTTAAGAGGTGCCATCAATCCCCTCATCTGCACAGCTCATTTGAGGACAGGGGATAGCAGGCAGGGAAAATGTGGCTTTCTTTGCACAAACAAAATCATAGATTTTCCATAGACTTTTCATCCTGATCTGATCTCCCATAAAGATAATTTCCATACCTATGTTAATTCCCTGCCTAAGGCTCTGATTAAGTTTGGGATTTAAATGTGGTGTTAGAGTTAAAAAGATTCACTGAACTAATGCCTTATATAAGAAAAAATAGTGGGAGCTCAGATAAATTATATCTCATATACAGTTATAGCATGATAAGCCGAGGAAGAAAAAAGTTTCAGTTGGGAAGCCAATGTAAAGTATCTTCATTTATTCATAAAATGTATTTGCCTGGAAAAGGGTGGAATTGCATTGAGGTCATCCCTACTCATTTCTTGTTAAGGCTGATAGTGTCAGATATACAATATTTGTATCACAACTGACAAACACCTTCAAGCTTGTGCGTACCACCCTAGCCCAGAAAAGTACATACATGCCCTACTTGAAAGTTACTGGCACTGAAAAAACATTTTTTAAATGATTAACTCCATCAGTCCATCTCATTTTATCGGTATATTGATCAATAACTTGGCAGCATTTTGAAGTACTGAAAACTTTCAATTTTACATAATCATGGTAAATTCTAATTGACAGACAGATAAGTCAGTCTGCCCAAGCAGCTGTATTCTCTTTAAAAGGAAGGTATTCAGAAAACATGCAAATGTGCAAAGTGACATTATGTTTAATTCACAAAGCTGTCAAGAGCTCAACAAACAGCCCAAAAAGAAGATGAGAAAACTGTGCCTTCCTACCATTAGTATGCACAGTTTTGTTCAGTGCAAGTCTGTGATGGAGGCTGGTTACTTTCCCCATTTTCTTCAATCACTTGTAGGATACAGCTGGAATCCTAATGTTTTATGAAGACTAAATTTTTTCTCCTTGACAGTATAGGGTCAACTATCCTGCAAATTCAGAAGCAGATAGTCTGAAGAGCTGGTGTGACTGCCAGATGTGACTGCAACCTCACTTTAATATTTTTTTCAATACCAATACAAAAGTGAAGTATTATAATATTATCCTATTCCAAGATATTCTGAAGTCCTTAGGGCAAAAGGGCACAGGTACTTAGAAGGAGTAAGGGGAGTGACTTGTCACAAATTTTCTTCCCTCAAATCTGATCTTGATAGGCAGGAAAGAAGAGTGAATCACTGAGGTTTCCATTCTCCGATGGAGATTCACACCAAAGCAGTACTTGGACCCCTTATCTTCCTCGGCCTCTCTTTATGCAGAGGATTTTGCAAGACTGTAGCGCATTAATTGATTATAATACATGCTGAGATTCCTGGCTGAAAGGTATTATGGACATCTAAAATGCTATTACAATGGCAGTTTTCAGCAAACGATTTGATGTTTCCTACCCAGAAAGCAATGATGAGGTTGAGTTGCATGAGAAAATACTTTTTATGTTAAACACTGTCTTCTGTCTTCCTGCTTTCTCTATTTCCACAGGCCAGTAGTAAAATCTTTGAAGGAGACTGGCTTGGTAGAGCCAGAGTTGTTTGAAGAAGTCACTATCTACTTCAGTGACATTGTTGGCTTCACCACGCTCTGCAAATACAGCACTCCTATGGAGGTAGTAGATATGCTGAATGACATCTACAAGAACTTTGATCACATTCTTGACCATCATGATGTTTACAAGGTGATTAGCTCCTCACTTTTGCTCAGTTAATAACCAAGCAATGCAGAATCTAACAGGCCAAGATTACCTCATTTCAGTATATTTGAGTGCCAGCCTAGAGCAAATTTTATATACCTGGTATATAGCTGGTCACAGATTCCTTAAGTGAAATGCCATATACTGTCATACTCATTTACAGAAAGTTGCTAGCTACCTTAAACTAAATAATCCTACTGACTAGGGACCAGGTTTAATCATAAACAAGAGAATATGAATATAAAACCTTCCTGCTCTCAACTGAGTATGTTCTTTGCGTGCTGTGATTACTAATTGTGTTTCCACAGGTAGAGACCATTGGCGATGCTTACATGGTGGTGAGTGGTTTACCAAAGAGGAATGGCAACCGACATGCAGTAGACATCTCCATGATGGCTCTGGACATCCTTAGCTTCATAGGATCCTTTGAGCTCCGACACCTGCCTGGTCTGCCTGTTTGGATTCGCATTGGAATTCACTCTGGTACACAATGATGCTAGATCAGCAATGACAGTATAGTTGCCTTGTTTTTGAACTTAACAGATCAGATATCCATGGAAGATGTGGGTGGACATCATACACAACTGCTTTCCTTGTGAAGAATCAGGTTGAAAATAATATTCCTGGGGGAAGTTAACAGAAGTAAATAAACAATTAGTTCGCTCCGGTCTAGTGAAATAGCCCTTATCTATTCATTCATGGCTTAAATCAGTAGCAAGAGTAACTGTCATTCCTCCTGGTATGATCAATTGTAAGCTTTCACAGATAATTCCTCCCTGACCAAGACGGAGATCAGCCATGTCCAGACGTGCTTGTCTCGCCACAGAAAACAACCCTTTCTCTTACGCTTTTGGAGACAAAAGTTCTGATTGCTCTCATGTGGGAATTCATGCTTCAATGAAACCAGAAAAATATTTCATCTATAAGAGAAACCGCTCAACAGTCTCAAGGGCTTTGGGAAATCATCTTTCATTTTTGCTTGTTTCAACAGTTATCTAAGTAACTGGCGAAGGAGGAACATAACAGTGAAAGCAGCTGGGCACTGGGATACCCCTTGAGGCAATAATATGGAATCCCTCTATAATTAAGCTTATTCTCTATTTCTTTTGCTTCCAAAACTGACAGGAACCATATTTTTTCCTGCACAGAGATTATGTTTAAATGCAATTAATGCTGTCCAACTGTGTCCCGTTTTGTTCTAATTGGATTCTGCAAGATGAGCAGAGCTAGGCATGGTTTGGAGAGGAATGGGAGATGTCCAGATAGTTTAGTGGTAGAGAGCAATACCATTGGTGAGGAACACATTGCTCCAGTAGGTACTGCAGTGTTTTCTGCAACAAGGAGAGGCATCTTTCAAGCTAGTAGTCTCTTGACCAACCATTTTTTCATTCTGCAAATTCCATTTCTAGGTCCATGTGCAGCTGGTGTAGTAGGAATAAAGATGCCTCGTTACTGTTTGTTTGGAGATACGGTGAACACAGCTTCACGGATGGAATCCACTGGCTTGCGTAAGGATTTAAGTTCATCTGTCCATATAACAGGGCCAAAGGCTATTGGTTAGTTTGTGACTGAAGTGTCTGTTTTCAGCCGAGAACAATTTGTAATCAGCTCACAGATTAAAGATGAAGCCTTATTTTTTCTAATTACCAATTGTTTCACTGTCCTGTTGGGCTGTGAAGAATTTTCCTTGTTCCTGCTCCAGTGCTGCTAACAGGGAGTATGTAGGCTGGTTTTTGCTGGCTGAGTTTCTCTGGAATAAGTACTAATGATGCTTGGGATTTAATTTTACTTTATGAATGTTGGATTTCAGTTCAACTTATAATTGTATTGCAGCTTTGTTGTGTTAATATGTTGACTGTATACTTTAAGTTGAAGCAATTACTTCTTCAACTACACGATTAGGGACCTTTGCCAAGAGCTGACTTATCTTCCTTCTGCCCAGTGTCTTCATATGGCTATTCTCTTTGTGCGATTCTTCCCAATTTTCCCTTCTCTTTTGGCATATAAACACTACAGATACATTTTCAAATTGAGCTTTCATTGTCTATTTCTTAGCTTTAAGAATTCATGTAAGTGGTTCCACGGTTGCCATCCTGAAAAGAACAGATTGTCGATTCCAGTATGAAATGAGAGGAGAAACATACTTGAAGGTAACCTTTGCCATGCACATGCACAGAGAAAAGGAATAGTATAAAGGCATTATGTAGTTTAGAGTACCCTGCAGCTTAATTAACAGCAAGGGAACAAGGGTCTCAATCAGTACCATAAACTCTAGTTGTTGAAGACACTTCTGTAACGTCAATGAAGGCAATGAAAAGCTGCCCAAGTGAAAAACTAAAATAACATAAAGATGAAGAGAATAAATGAAATGTATGACTGAAAGTTATAGAGTAACAGTAATGCTGAATTGAGCTGATGGAAGAGAAGCTAATCTATTGTTAATTTGCTCTTGCTCTGATATCTGACTGTCTACCTACATATCTATTTATTTCAGTCTATGTAACTTAGCACTGATGTCTGTACTTGGAGCTGATAGCAGGTAGCACAGCTCACCTCTCTTATGGTTTCAGGTCATAGAACAAGTGAATGTTCAGCTGTATCTCACCCATTATTTTTCTTTCCACATCTGATTTTTAATCCTTTGCTGTGAGCAAAGGCAAACACAGCAATGTGCAATATAGAATTATTTAAGTAAATGAACTACAGGAAATTGCAGTCTAATCCCTAAATTGTGCTTTCTCTTCTTTGTGATCACTGTTTAGGGCAGAGGGACTGAGATTACATACTGGCTGACGGGTACTGAAGACAAGGAATATAATCTCCCAACACCTCCTTCAGTGTAAGCTTTTTTTTATATGTGGAAAGGAAAGAGAAATTCACAGTCTTTGAACTTTAGACTTAACCGTTCTTCTTTAGAGCTTGAGGATATAAGCATGTAAATATTCATGACAGTATTAGGTTTGAGACTATGCATGTGCTGCAGGTTGTTTGTATGCTTAACAGGTTCATTTCATTGGAAGGGTAATAAGACTTGTAGGACAACTTGCTTGATGTGATAAATGCAGAGATGGGCATACAGATTAAAAATATTAATATTCCCTACAATGTGATAGCATTTGTTTTGTAAATATATGTATACAAGTGATGCACAATACAGTTACTCACCACTTGCTGACTGATACCCTGAGCAGCGACTGCCCTCATGGCTTACTTCCCACAGTTTTAAAGTTTCCACAAAACACTATATAGTATGGGATATCCCTTTGGTCAGCTTAGGGCAGCTGTCCTGGTTCTGTCCACTCTCAGCTCTTTGTGCCTCCTCAGTCCCCTTGTTGACAGGGCAGTATGAGAAGCTGAAAAACTGGAATGTCCTTGTCTCTGTATGGCACTGCACAGCAACAACTAAAACATCAGTGTGTTATCAATATTGTTTTTTTCCCAAAGCCAAAACACAGTATCATAGCAGACAGAATGAAGAAAATCAACTCTGTCCCAGATGAAACCGGGACAATTCCCCAAAACTTTAACCCTAATTGTACTTGTGTGCCACACTACACGCTACAGCTAGAGGATAACTGCAACTCTCTAATATCAATTTGAGCAGGATTTTGAATGCTATTCTGTTAGAAGAGGCAGACAAAACAATTGTAGCATTGCCCAGGCACAAAGTGTTTAGAAATTGAACAAAATTTTACTTCTTAACATGTTATAGTATATTTAGCAAGAGAAAAAGAAGAGGCTGATGTATTGGAACTGAACTGTAATTTGCATTAATACTAAATAAAATATAATAGTGGGTGTATTGTTTTTGAGAAATATTGGAAAACTGAAGTCAGGATGACTGTCTTCATTTCATCTATATTTGGCATATGAGTACTGCATTTGTTCCTGTTAACTCACTAGAACATGGAATTTCTCCACTTTCTATTCTTGTGTACAGTTACTTCACCAAACAGGGATTTGCTGCTATCTGCTTTGAAATAACCGTGTTTCAGTACAACTTGAAGCAATTATATTGCAAATTGTACTTTGCTGAATACATTGGGATCTATTAATGGTGAAAGGCATAAGTACATAACCTTATCTCCTGCCCATTTATTCCTATCTACCTAAAAGAAAAGAGACAACTAGGAGAAAGATAAAGTTTTTTTCAAGGCATTTTCGAAACAGAAACAATCAAGCTTTTAATCTACTACAGAATCTCATAAACTTAGCTTTATTTAATGGCATTTCAAGTGGTTGTTGCTGTGCTGAGCAGGAAACACTGTCAGGCCTGTTTATATGGTACAACTCTTTGTTATCTCAGAACTTCTTTTCTGAATTAAAATGATTGTTTGAGACTATAAGAATGATTGAATTGGCAATTGTTCTGAAATTCAACTACTGAAAATACCTCTTGAGCTGGATCACTGTACTCAGTGATGTTTTTGTTTTCACTTCCTTGTTATGGGCTCTGTCTCACAGAATTGCCCCTTAAAATTCTCATATAAAGGGTACTATAGTGAAAACCAGGCAGACTGCAAAAGTTTATGAAAAGGTAGCAGGTCTGTTACTGAAGACCACCTGAAGCTGAGTGGTGGAAGTACTGGTAGAAATAATGGTGTTGAGAAATAGAATCTGATTTAATTGGGAGAGCATTTAATTGATGTTTTCTTTTTCATGCAAGTGACGCTAAATTTATTTTAGCTAATGACACTTATACAGATCTCTGTAAAGATGGTAATCAGTGCTATATAGAAAAATTGCATCTAATTCCTCAATTATATTCCCAAAGCCAAAACCTGGATCTAAAACCTTTATCTCAGAAGTGTGTGAATGACATCAATCTAAGTGTTTAGAAATGTTAGATAGAAATGTTCAAAAAACATTGGAGATCTAGGGATCACTAAAAGCATGTCAGTCCGTGACCTTTTTTTTTCATCCTTTTGCTTTCAGGGAGAATCAGCAGCAGTTAAAAGATGACATAGCAGAGATGATAACCAAAATTCTTCAGAAAAGAGAAACTGAAGGTTTCAGGACCAGAGAGATTAAACGGGTAGCAAGCTACAGAACAGGTACCCTGGAATACTTGCAGCTGGCCAGCACAGAGAATTCTGCTACATATCTTTAAGACTGGATGTCTAGCATGACTTAAAAAGCTACAGCAACTCCCAGGAGTACTTCATATTAAAGGCTGGAAGCTTATGTTCTCAGCTGGAGGAGAAAGAAAATACCTTTCAAGGCAACCTTTCTACCACTCAACCTGCTAGTAGTACATCAAACCTCTCTTCACTGTCATGTCCAAATTCTTAGATGACTTCAGCAGGGGACAGGCAATCTGATTTGAGAGAAATGAGACCTGAGGATACCTTATCTGTTCTGGTTTGTTTTTTAAAGATGATAGCCTGTTCAATAATTCACTTCTGAAATATTCACAGCATAGCCTTAATTCCTCATGATTTTCAAATGTTGTATTTAATTTGTAATTTTTATTTCAAGAAAGCTTTGCTGTAATATATTTGAATACAACATTAAACATACTGTATAAGTCCTGGATATTTGCCTTTTTTTTTCCCCTGCAGTTTTCCCCTCTCTCCCACATTTTGTTTAGCCAAGTTGTCTTTCTTAAGCACTTCCATTATTCACCTTGGGAGATAACTCTAGAATCTATATGGTTTCTAAAATTTATCTGAATGTCTTAAATCTGAAAAATCAAACAAATCTTGCATAGCAGACCCTTTCATATCTTTCCTCCACTTCTGTTTATGCCCCCAAACCAGAAGTACAAAAGAAATGAACAAACTTCTCCATGTTTTTTAAACTTCTGGAAGTTTCAGTTCAACTTTTGGATGAAGTTTCACAACCAGGCAGAACTCACATTTTACTGAGATGACTCACTCATGAACTGAAACATGGCATTTATTAATAATCAAATTTTAAAAGTAGCCAAAGAACAGGGGGTAGAAGAAAATCAACATTCCCACAAAGTAGTGAGCAGAATTTTTGCAAAAGGTTTTTGTGCACTGATGGCTTTCAAAGCAGAGCTACTTCTTTCAACAGCTGTCAAATATGGTCAGTATTCAAACTGTACACTTCAGTATATAATTTCCCCCCAAACCATTCTTTTATGGTTTTGAACAGCAATTTTTGTCCAAGGAAACAATCTTAAAAAGAGCAAGCCAGTTGCCTGTGTTTTGCCTTTGTCAACCTCAGTTTGCTTTTTGCAAACTCACAAAAAGCCCCACGCCAAAAATAAAACTCAACAGAACAACCAAAGTTTAAATATTCAAGCTATAAAATTAAATCAGGTTATGCTGTAGGGCTTCTAGTATTGCTTGATGAATGTAAATTCTACAGACAGGGATACATTATAGGCAGAAATAGCAGACAGCCTGTAACCAACAGCTACCAGTTTCAGATTCTGTGTTAGCAGACTTTAACTTGGGCTGGCACTAAGAACATACCACTACTTTTCCCATTTGTGTCCTAATGGAATAGCTCACTGGGATGAAGACAGAAAAAAATGAATGGTATTCTAAAACTGATATGCACTGAAAAGAATATCACTACAGTAGAAAAACATGAAGCCAGCATGCCTGCTATTTCCTGGCCCAAGATGCCAATCAAGAAGCTTCGTCTCTATGTCTACATTCCTTGGTGAGGTGATACTTGGCACCACAAGTCTATTCTGGTTGCTATATCTGATACATTGCAGCGACAAGTGTTGGACTCCTCCAGCATGAAGTCTACTCCTGCTTTCTTAAGTGGAGTTGTTCTGCTCTTCGTAAGTCTGTTTTTAAAGAGGAGCTACATGGGTTCCATCCATGATGCTCCTGAGATATGAATTATTCAGCAAATATCTGCAGACACTGGGATAGTTCATTTAGACACTGTTGGTTTTCAGTAGCTCTTTCCTGCACTCTTCAGATCATAAATCCCATGTAATTCTTCACAGATAAATAATTGATTGACTTTTTTGGCATGTTTGTTTTCTACGTGGCTCTTGTGTATTTCTGTCACCCATACATCACAACTACTCTTTTAAAAAATTTTCACCAGCTTTCTAGTTTGAATCTGTCTTAGATTCAATATCTTATATTGCATTTTGTTATTAAATGTTGGATTTAAGAGCCCTCTGCCATCAGAAATCTGTCACCGAACCATAAAATGGTTGGGCTGGAGGTGACCTCAAAGCCCAGGCAGTCCCAGCCCGTGCTGTGGGCAGAGCTGCCCCCCACCAGCTCAGGCTGCCCAGGGTCCCATCCAACCTGGCCTTGAACCTCCAGGGGTGAGGCACCCACAGGAAATGGCCATAGTTATAAGCCCGAAGGAAAGTATTCTCTCCTGTTCTTTTTCTGCAGAGAAATGCACAGTGGTTTGCCTTAATAGGGCTAAAAAACGCCCTTCTTCTTTGAAGATGTGGTTTGACAAGACACGATGTAACTCCTGTTGCTTTACTGGAGCTTTCTCTGGCAAACCCCGGAGGTCAGTCAGCCTCGGTCAGCCCGGGGGCTTGGCAGGGTCCAGCCTGGGGCTGCCTCACCACGGCGCTGTGCCACTCGAGGCCGGGCAGTGCGGAGAGGAGGCCTGAGCTTGCCCTGCAGTGAACCCCAGCTCCCGGCTTGGCTTTGAGGGTTCTGAAAACAAATTCTGTAACCCGAAACACAACTAGGTCGAAGCCCGACAGTTTCCACCATCCCCTCCAGCAGGCTGCGGGACAGCCGGGCCCGGAGGGCAGCGTAGGGGCCAAGCGGCTGGACAAGGGGAGCCCCTGCGGTCCCCGCGAGCCCCGGGGCCACCACGAGTCGACTCGGGAGGGGGCAGAGCGGGGCGACGAGCAACCATCGCTTCCTGGGCGAGGAAGGGACGGCGAGCTGCGGGGGTTACCATTGTCCCAGTGGACCCCAGCCACCCCCAGCACGGGGCCACCCCCAGCACGGGGCCACCCCCAGCACGGGGCCACCCCCAGCACGGGGCCACCCCCAGCACGGGGGCGCCGGGGCGGGCGCCGGAGGAGGCGGGGGCAGCAGCGAGACCTGCCCTGAGCGAGGGAACTTCTTAAAGTCCCGCCGCCTCCTGGTGCCCAGAGGAGGCGCGTGGGAGCGAGCAGCATGGCCCGGGTCGGCGGCGGCGGCCCGCTGTGCTGCTGCTGGGGGCTCGTCCTCGTATGGGCGGTGGCGGGGGGCCGAGCAGGTGAGGCGGGCGGCTCTCAGGGGGCGGCGGAGGGGTCTCGCCCCGGAGCCGTCGGGGCGGGCGGGGTACTGCGGGGCTGCCTGGCGGCCGGGGGCGCTGTGCCGGCCCGGCTACCGAGCAGCCGCTGTGCCTCGTGCCGGGCTGAGGGACGGCAGTGACGCCCGGGGCGCGGCTGCGGGGGTAAATGCTTTGCTCAGGAGGCGGTGAGACGATGGCACAGCTGTCCGGAGAGCTGTGGGTGCCCCAGCCCTGGAGGTTCAAGGCCAGGTTGGACGGGGCACCGAGCAGCCTGAGCTGGTGGGTGGCAGCCCTGCTCATAGCACGGGGTTGGGGCTGGGTGGGCTTTGAGGTCGTTTCTGATCTAAGCCATTCTGTGATACTGTGAAGTCTTCTACGAGGTTCCTGGTTCACTTATTAATTGTTTACAGAATAAGGGAAAATTCAGGTGACAATTGTTTTAACATACCTGCGCTGTTACAAGCATCTCATTTTGTGGACAGCCCTATCTCGTCTTGCAGACCTGTTTTGCAAACCTTTTCAAACCTCAGTGTTGAACCTAATGATCAACCAGGCCAAGTGCAGTGTGTTGCACTTGGGTTGGGGTAATCCCTGATACGTATGCAGACTGGAGAGAACTCATCAGGGGTAGCGGTGCAGAGAAGGAACTGGGGGTTCTGATGGGTGAAAAGCTGGACGTAAGCCAGCAGTGCATGCTTGCAGCCTGGAAGGCCAACAGTGCCCTGGGTTGCATCAAAATAGGGGTCACCAGCAGGGAGAGAGAGGGGATTGTCGCCATCTGCTCTGTCTTTGTAAGGCCCCAGCTGGAGTACTGCACAAGAAGGATGTGGAGCTGTTGGAGTGGGTTGAGAGGAGGTCACGAAGATGCTCAGAGGGCTGGAGCACCTTTCCTACGAAGACAGGCTGAGGGAGATGGGCTTCTTCAGTATGGAGAAGAGAAGGCTGCAGGGAAACCTCACTGTGGCCTTCCAGTACTTGAAGGGAGCTTATTAATGGGAGGACTGACTTTTTACATGGGCAAATAGTGATAGGACATGAGTGAAAAGTTTTAGGCCATAGGAGGGGAGAGGAGGAAATTCTTTACTCAGAGAGTGGTGAGGTGCTGGCACAGGCTGCCCAGAGAAGCTGAGTCCCTGGAGATTCAAGGCCAGGTTGGATGGGGCTTTGGGCAGCCTAAGCTGGGGGGTGGCAGCCCTGCCCATGGCATGGGCTGGGACTGGGTGGGCTTTGCAGTTTGCAGTTCCTTGTGACCTAAACTATTCTATGATTCTGTGAAATTGCAAAAACTTTCATTACTGTATTAGCAGGACTTAAGGAAGAATCAACCATGGAGCATGCAGAAAGAAGTGAAAGGAAGTTTAGGGTATAAAGTAGTTTAAGCTAATACCTTACTGATTCCTCACATCATAATTGAAGTAGACAAATAGAAGACTATTAAGCAGCATTTGGAAGTGCCTTTGGGCTATTTAATAGAGCAAATTTAGCTTTCAACATTGTGAATATTCTGGTTTTTTTTTTTTTGTTTTGTTTTCCCTAAATTTGTTCGTTGTTTGTTGGTATTTTGAACTCCTTGAGGATTCTTATTGTGCAATTTGGAAAATGTTTCAGGAGAATGTTCTCTGGTAAAAATCACTGAAAATTAGGGACAAAGACTAGTAAGCTACTTGTGAAGCAGCTGCTTTTGTTTCCTCTGTGGATGATGTATGCTGGGGACCTACAGTTTTGGCAAGTATCACATTCACAAGCATCCTTGTGAATGTGAAAACCATACAAAATTGAAACTCCTAAATCACGATTCGCACATTTCAGTATTGCCTCTTTCTTTCCAGTAAGCAGAAATCAGGGGATTAGGCTTCAAATAATGATAGGCTTGTTGGAGGCAAATTGAAAAATTACTTAAAATGTATAAGGAAATAGGATTAATTAAGTCTGGTAGAATAGAAAACACAAATAACTTCTGTTCAAGAGGAACAAGAATGCATTTAGTTCTTTAATTGAAAATTACTGGCTTTCATGTTAAGTGCCTGTGTGGTTTAAACTAATCTCTCAAGAAATCCTGAAGTACTTAATGTTCATTTTGTAATGAATTCTGGTCGTAACTGTAGTGTGAAATCTCACTTGTACTTCAGAGGTGTACAACCTTTCTAAACAGTTAGGAGGCTGGTTCTAAAATTTCTTTGGGAAAATAGGGTAAGTTCTATCAAATTACAAAGTTGAACTGAAATATCAAAAGCTTCTTATTATGGTTGATCTGATACATGGCATGAACAACTAACTGAACATTAGTTGTAGGACAGACTGTACTAATAAAGGGGAGATGTGAAACTCTGCTTTATTTTAATGGGTCCAGGTTGTGCAAAAACTGTTTTCAGTGAAACAGAAAAAGGAAAGCGAATGGGTGGAATCTAGTAAGTACATCTTAATACTTATACAAAAGAAAACAAAAAAACAAAACAAACAAACAAAAAATCCTCACCTTTCAAAAGCTGGAAATAAAAATAAGCATGTAAAATAGAGATAAAAATTAATAGCTGAGGAACCCACTGCTTTTCCTACTCTGACTTGTTTAGTTAGATGTAACCTGAAATGCATGAAATGGCTGAAAA